ACCAAGATGTGGAGTTGTGTCCCTTTGTCTTGAGTGATCCAACATGCTGGGTTTTTTGGGTTATCTGTCCTTTACTCCTAGGGGCATCTTTTCGTGGTACCTAAGATACGTAAGATAATTTAGTCAGAAAATACAAAAAGTGTTTGGGGTTTCCTTACCTTGTATTTGTGTTGAATGCTAAAAGATAAATGTTACTATTATGGCTGGAAAAAGAAAGAAAATTTTTGTTGGTACATGTGTTTAAAACCTGTTTGTGTGAACTGCTTGTCCAATAGTGAGAATGTCACATCTTTGTGTATGTAGAGGAGAAAAGTGGGGTTGATTCTCATTGGTTCAGAATGAGTGAATTAATAATAATTATAATTATTTTATTATGAAGAAATATAGTTTTAAAGTGTGCTATATTTATGGGATAAAGTGCTCAGTATCAGAGATAGAGCGTATGTAAATATAAATATAAAAGTGAACGTTGAAGTCAACACTCAAAGACGACAGGCTGTTTCATGCTAGATGCAATCATCTGGTGGCCTGATGATTGTGTCTAGCATGAAACAGCCTATCACCTCTGAGGGTTGACTTCTATGTTCACTTTTATAATTATTTTATTATAATTATTTTTCTGATATTATAATTAATTTTTATTTATTTATTTTTTTTATGGACATGACAGAACAAATGAAATAATAATAACAAATGTAAGAGGACTGATATCATATAACAGTTCAGTACTCTTTTCTGTTTTTTAACACTTTACTTAGCTTTTGGAAGGCATCTTTCCCAATGCAACTGCAGATATTAGTGTCACACTTTCTGTCCTCTGTTAAAGCACTGTTATAGACAAGCGTATGGTTGCAAGAAAGAAATACGACAACAGCAGAAATAGACTTACGTGGTTTATTTCAACAGGAACGTGTGGGTTTGAGACAGCTACCTTGTGGTATAGTTCATAAGCCGGCTTCGAATCTACGTCGATCTCTCATAGTAGTTCACACATGTTGACGGTGGTTGATACTCCCCTGATGACAGCTACTGACCGTGACAGGTCTGTTCCCTGGCCACCTGTGGACTGCCTGTTGAACTTCCGTGTGACCCCTTTTATAGCGTTTTTTTTTTTTTATGGCTTAACAGGCTTGAAAAACGAAGCAAGTATAATTAGGAGGGAAGCATTTTTATTGGACGAAAAATAGAGCACTTTAAATATTATTTTATTTTTCAACCGGAACACGTGTGTCGGGAACATTTGTAAATGAAGATAATGGTCATTTTGTGATGGGGTTTTGTCCCGTTCACATCCGGCTCTTGCTCTTGAGTATTTGCCTGTAAATCAGCCGAGATATGTCTTATTTTATTTTATAACAACACTTATTTTATATTTACCAAATATAAGCAAATTAGTCAGTGGAGAAGTGAACAATTTATTTAGTCGTTGGTGGGTAATTTAATGATAAAATGTAAGAAAATAAAAAAAATTGAAACTCCTATGTTAGCATTTCTTCCTCCAAAAGAGCTAATAACCATTTTATTGATGGAATCTTGTAAATATAAAGAGGAAGAAATACAAAAAACGTGTTACAATTTTATACTGGGAAATGCTAAAGACACCAGGGTGATTAGCTTTAAATTTAAATTTTTAAATTTTGGCATTCAATGTAACAAGATGCTTGTGTAGCCAACCTTGTGGAGACACAAACCTAATCAAACAGGAAGTTAACATTTCAGAGTCAAAAATACGAATGGCAGATACACATTCATATGCAGGTAGGCTTGGCGCAGAAACTCCATTGCTTTCAACTTCAAAAATAAGAAATTCGGATTGCATATTTCAGCCAATCAGAGAACTACCCAACTAAAAATCAGATAGCCATAAGATCCAGCACTTGTTTCAACAAAGTGTTTATAAAGGAAGGCAGAATTAGTTTCAGGGTCCTTTTTCAACTACTGCTGCTGGCAGCCACGTCTAGCATTTCTTTGATGCATTTTCAAGTACCCAACACATAGGACTTGATTTTTCTCACCTGATAGAAATGTTCTTTTCTCTCATAAACACATCTACAGAAGTATTATACACTACTTTTCTTTCACATAAATATTCAATACAAAAAACAGAACACACACAAAATAAATTGATATTTCTTATTTATACTCATACAGACATTTTTGGACACAAGGATCTCTACTCACTTATCAAATACCAAAATTGTTATAAATTTGCTGTTATATAAAATCACTTTTATTGAATGTTATTTCCATTCTTTGTGTTCTTTTAAATCTATTTGTTGTGGAATTATCACAGAGGCCATAGTTCCATGACAAAACCTCATTCAGTTTTCTGCTGCTTTTGGTTTTATTTTCATTACTGCTGTTTTCAGTTATCCCATATTCAATCTGCATTAGTTTTGTGGGGGAAAGGAGATGTGTTGTGTGATCTTTGACATAAATCTCCTGTGGAAGACTCAGAAATTAATGCACTTTCAATACATTTTCATTATAATAAAATACTTCATTTTTTAATTAAAACTGCATTAAGTTGAAATTATGATCAGACCTATTATAATGAATAACTAATGCATGAAGTGTATTGTTTTTTATCATTGCAATATAAAAAATGGCATTTTTTTAATATAAATAATTTAATCTAAAAGTGAAAAATATGCTTTATTCATTGGTATATTAAAAATGAAATCAAAACTGGAATAGTTCACCTAAATAATATAAATTATGATAATTCCTGTTTTAATAAAAAATTTATTTTTAATTTCTGTGATTGATAAATTAAATGAACAAAACTTATCACTTTCATAATAACTTTTATTTAACCATAATCTCTACCCAATTTCCTTTAGTTAAGGTTAACTAACTTTTACTTATACATTCATTCTTTAAAGAGACAAGACACAGACTCTTTTCTGCTAATGCACTCAATTTGGTGATGATTTGCAAAATGTGTGCAATATTTATTTATTCTTTGCTGGAATTGCAATCTGATATTAATTTTTAAAAGAAGAAAAAATTTAAGCACAAAAATAAGTTGGCTACAATTTGGTATCCTGCATGACTGGTACAAAATATGGACTTTCATCTGCTGCTGCTTTTAGGAAGATGAACAATAGCAAAAAGAAAAGAAACAGCTGGTTTTAAAAAAATGTAATTGTTCCCAATAGTTTTAAAAATTGATTTTATTTTGGGAGATTATTTGGAAATTGTTTACTGTTAGAAAGTTTAAAAATGTTGATTTTTTTTTTTGTATTTTCACTATTGTTTTTTCACTATTCTGACATTTTAACTGACACTTCACTGCAGAAAAAAGAGAAAAGGCTGACCTGATTATTGTCACCTGTTTTTTTTTTTTTGTTAAGTCAGTTCCATTGTACAGTTTCAATCTGTAGAAGGTCAATTGGATCAATCTATAAAACACAGATGTTGCATTATGAGAAAAGAAAAAATGTGAAACCTTTTAAATTAAAATGTGTGTTATGTGAAATATAAAGGATAATACAAGCATATTCATTTTTTAAGAATTTGCAATAACATAAAGTGTGTGTATACATTTGTAAGGATTTTTATATAAAAAGATATATTTAAAGACATAAATTAAAATATTCTGTTTAAATAAATATATTGAAAAAGTGACTACATATTTCATAAAATATTTCTAAATAATGTGTCATTAATATTTTTTTTCATTTTTTCAATATCCTCCAATCAATTGAAAGCTATAATTAAAATATTATGATTTACAAACAACACAAGAAATGTGCCCATTATGATTATTTTTAAAACCCTCCCTAAAGGACACATACTTAGAATCAGAAAGAGATAATTGAAATTTCTAAGGCATCTAATTAGGAAAGAGGGCTTGGAGAATTTTATACTCACAAGACATATTGAAGGCAAGCAGGATAGAGGAAAGTAGTACATAACAAGCTTGTGTAAATGGTTGGCAAAATAGAGATTAGGAGGGATAACAAAAAGACAAACTTTTCTAAGAGCTATAAAGGACAGGAAGTGGTGGAGAGACATGATTGTCCAAGTTTTGAAGACACATGGCACATAGAAAAAGAAGTTATAATAATCATAATAATAAATGTAAAGGATGTCAAGGTCTTATGGGATCTCAGCATCCAAGCAATCTGCATTCTACCAGACCAAACATTATCATTATTGAGAAAAAACAAGAAAATATCTTTTCATTAATATGGCTGTTCCCAGTGACCATAAGATCAAGCTCAAAAAATATGCACCATCTCTGAACTCAAGCTGCCAAAATGTGGGGGTATTCAGACCACTATTGTCCCAGTTATTATATGGGCTTTGGGGTCTATAACATTAACCTTAAAGTCCTACATTAAGAAAATCAGAATAAAGCCTAGTATCCCATCACTTCAGAAGTCTGCATTGCCTGGCATTGGAAATACTCTGCAAAAGGTGCTGTCTATCTGAGGTTGTACAGTTGATGGAGAGCACCCATAATGCAAGATCTCCAGTTGAAAACAAAAATCATGTAAAAATAGACATTATGTTTTGTCGTATGAGTTGCTCCCAAGATTCAACCAGAGACAACAATTTTTTTGGTATCAGTAAATGCAAACAAATGAGGTGCTATGCAATAAAAAAAAATTAATAAAATGTAATTATGGTCACAGCATGGAAAGAAATTTACACAAAATGTGTGAAGTCCCCATCATCATCATCGTTACTACTACTATTATTATTATTATTATTACTATTATTATTATTATTATAATTTATTTATTTATTCCAAAATTCATCACCAAGTCTATTACTGGAGGATAGTGCTTTTAAAGCAAGCAGTCTTTATTATTAAAGTGCTTAATATTAAGAAAGCAAGCATAAATATTAAACAAATACAATTCAAAAACTTATCTCCTGACTTCACTTAATATTTATGACTCCACTTACTATGTACGTCTTCATTTTTCATGTTCCTCCTTCTAACTTTTAATTTTTACATGTCAATGTCTTTATCTTTTTTTCCACAGACAGATTGTCCTTAGCATTGCACAAGGGCATAAGAAAGCCAAGGAAGCTAGAAAGAACATTCAAGAATACAAAAAAAAGATTGGTGAGTATTTCATTTTTAATCCTGAGCTTGCAGATCATATTTATAAACCAGAAGCTGTCCAGGAGAAAAGAAAATGTAAAACTCTATGGGGCTTTAAAAACCAAATAAATTACCCAGTCTGGGACAGTAGACTGATCTAGTCATCATAAACTAAGAAAGGAAGATCTGTCAAATGATAAATGTTGCAGTTTCAGTGCTGTTGAAAGAATTAAAAGGTGGGAAAATATCAGAAAATTTCTAGTGAATTGAAAAGATTGTGTAATATATGATATACTTTGAATTATCAGTACATGCAAACACTCCTGTAAGCTCTTGTAAGAAAGATTAAAAGAATTAGAAATCCAAGATTTAAAACCATCAAAGTGTACAACAATAATAATAATAATAATAGTAGTGTTGTTATGTTTGGTATATCTCTGTGTAGTAGCAGTTGTAGCACAGTTTTTCACGTTATGTTTAGCAAACAGGTTTGCTAAGCAATGCACTTATGTTCACCAGTTATACTTGTCTATCTCATTTGCATACAATACTACACCTCCCTGAATTGGTGTGATTGTATACTCTTGTTTTTTCTTTTACTATTCCTGATTATTCTTGTACTGTGTTGTCCTTCCTCTTGTTCTTCTTGTTTTCTCTTTAATGGTGATTCTTCTTCACTTTCGTCCATCTTTTCATTCTCACTTTCTTCTATTTCCTGCTCTGTTCCATTTTTGTGACTTTCTGTCTCTTCTTGTTCTTGATTTTCCATTTTCACATCATCCAGTTTGTTTCTGCTTCTGAATTAATCTGCATGTGCCAGTATATTTTATCCCTTCTTCTCAAGTATAGCTGTGTTGTGTCTTTTTTTGTAATTTGCTTCTTCTGGATCAGCCTCTTTATTCTTTCTATATCACCCCCTTTTCTTTCATCAAAAAGGACATAGTTATAGGAGCTCTGATTAGCACTAAAAAGGATTCTAATTTGTTTTTATTTGTTTGAGCAGCTATTTCTGTTATTTTCTTTGTTAATCTGTCATTGGGTGATATGCCTTCTTTTGATATTTGATATCCTAAATCAAAATTACATTTGTCTTTGTTTACAGTCATGTCTGCCTTTTTTAATATCACTAAAATTTGCTCTGTTTTATATTTTAATTCTTCTTTAGTTCTTGCCTACACATATATCGTCCTTGTATATTATTATATATTTTACTTTTCCTAATAAGACATTTTCAATTACTTTTTGAAAAATATGGTTCAAAGTCTTTACCCCAAACAGTAGTCAAGTCCGTCTTAGTAAGCGTATAGGGGTGTTTATTGTGGTGATTTCTTTGAATTTCTTGTCAATTTCTATTTGGTTGTATGCTGCCTTGAGATCAACTTTTGAAAAGTGCTCCATTTTTGTTAACTTGTGGCTCACAATTTCAATATTTGGCAAAAGAAAAGAGTCTGAACATATCTGGTGATTTACCCCTATTTTGTAATTACCACAAATCCTTAAATCTCCATCAGGTTTCTTTATTGCTACTATCAATGATGCCCAATTGCTATCACCTTGAGTTACTCTTTCTAGTATACCTTGTTGTATCACCAAAGGTAGGATATGAACTTGAACTTTTCTTGACTCTATATATTTTGGGTGATAATTTTCTTTTGGTCAAATGCTTGCTTTATAGCCTTTCAATAATCTTATTTCATTTTCTTCTGCTTCCAGGGAATTAATTAGTTTTGCTGTATTTATTTTTAATACATCAATTTCTCGTAATCTGTGATCTTTTTCACATTCTATAACTGTAATGGGAATTACCTCAAAATGCCTGTTGGTTTCAAGATTGCCTTGAAATGTACCAATTATTTTTATAGTCATTTCATTAAATTTTTTTAACTGAATATTGCTTTTTTAATTTAGATTGTCCTAATTTTATCCAGAAATTTTTTGATATCAATGTGACTTCATTGCCTATATCAACTTGCATGTTAAATACTTGGCCATTTGTCATTATTTTTTCTCTACTTCTTTTTTTTGTATTCATTGTAAATATTTCAGCTTCTTCTTCAGAGGGGGTTGGTACCATTTGTACTCTTTCTATTTTCTTTTTGTATTTGCATATGTTCTGAAAATTATCTCTTTTTTGCAATTTGAGCATATTTTTCCTAGAGCTGGACATTTGTACTTGTCTCTCTGGTGATTTTTTCCACAATATCTACATTTAATTATGGATTTGGTTGTGCTCATCCTGTACGTCTTGAATTCTTCTCTTTGTTGATTAAATTCTCTAATCAACTCTAATTGCTGTAAAAACTCAATGCTAGCTTCCAAATACATGCTACTACTCTGTAGACATTCCAGTATTTTTCATTTGTAGTTTTGGTCTTGCAAGCCTTCAATTATTCTGAAAAGGATTAATTCGTCTTCTATAGTCATTTCCTGAGTTCCGAAATTTTCAAATTCACAATATTTGGCTTGTTCTTTCAATCTATGTAAGTATTGTATAATGGACTCATTGGGTGCTTGTCTTGTCTCTAAAAATTTGGTTCTTTCAGCAATGTCTAATCTTTTCATTGGTCTTATGTTCTTTTTTATAATTTAAACAATTTCTTCAAATGTCATTTCTTCTAATTCACTCGAGTAACATTGTTGAAATTATCTTCACAGCTTTGCACCCAGCTGTAGCAAGAAATAAATCTATCTCATTCTCTCCTCTATCGGTCTTTGTGTATCTTAATTCTTTCATTCTTGCAAATGCAGCAAAAGTTCTTATCCATGTTTCTATGTCTTCAAGAGAGAAAGTTTCAATATGTTTTATAATTCTTTTTTTGTATTTTCTTTTAATTCTTCTGATATTACAACCTAGAAGCAGAAAATGCATTTAAGTACAAGTTCCAATAATAATAGGAGCACTAGGAATTATAAATAAAAGAATAGTGATCTATGCATTAAGGAAATCCTGTGAAATCCATCACTATCCAAGATAGAAAAGTTTGTGCTCATGAGAACTGTTCACACATGATTAGAAAAACTCCCTGAATGTAATATGCTCAATTGATTTCTAAAAAATAAAACATTTCTATACTCCAGGTTTTGTGGGGGGAGGTGGTAAAGGATTGTATTAAACAGCAAATCAGGGAAAATAGGAATAATAATGATGATGATCTGGAAATAATAATGATGATGGTGATTATCAACAAGATGATGATGATGATGATTCTAAATATGAAGAAATTTTTTTACCATTTTATTATATAAAGCTTCCTACTGCTCATGGAAATTTTGTATGAGGTTTTTTTATCATTTCACCCCAAGCAAGTCAATAAAGCTAAGATCCAAGGAGTGAGAGAATGTAAAAAAAAAAAAATAAACATTATTAAAGAGCAAGAACAAGAACAAGGATTAAGAAGATAATGATTGACAATGTATTTAAATTTTCAGAGATCAAAGTTGACCAGGAAGCAAGAAGCTAGAAGAGAGTTTCACAAGCAAGAAGTACGATAGAAGAAACTGTTAACATAGAACTTACAGTTACATCTAGTCATTTCAGCTATAAAATCATGAGTCCTTGCCACCAATCTAGTACTATACTTAAATTCATAAAGTCTAGGTACCATAGAGGAGAGTTCTTCAGAACATTTATCATGAAACTATTTATAGAAAAGGCACAGGGAAGCTACATCACGGTGGTAGGAAATTGACTGAAGGTGATATGCCAGGTAAGGACCAATATCATTGCCATTTCTTCTTTGTATTTTATCAAGAATCTCTAAATATATAGCAGGAGCACCAAACGAGATATGACAGCAATATTCAAATCAAGGACGAATGGTAGACTTACAAGTATATAAGATAGATTCTGATAAGAAAAATTATCTGGCATAATACAGTGAACCCACTTCCCTAGCTGCAAGACTTAGCACTTGATTCAGTATACTCTTTCCAAAGATCTAGAAGAGTGGCCATTCAAGACTTCATTTCACGATTTGATAAAAAAGATTGAATCAGTTCAAAAATTTGTTCAGAAATACCATAACATTTCAACTGGTGAAGAAGACCATTATGCCAAACCCTGCCAAATGCCTTCAAAACATCCCAAGCTACAACATTCTTATCTAAAGCTTGATAGACTCAGCAATAATTGTTAATACATCAGTTGACCTAGAGAAGCGAAAGCCATATTGCTTATCTGAAAAAAGGCCCTGTAAGGTGAGATACTTAACCAATCCAGAGTTAACTAGAGCCTCTAGTACTTTGCCAAAAAGTGGTAGAAAGCTTGTAAGCTGCTAGAAGGATCAGGTGGTTTGCCTGAGTTCTTAAAAACTGGAACTACAGACGTGTATTTCTAACAACCAGGAAAGCAAAATGTAGCAAGACATTTACAGTAGAGTTTAGAGAGAACAGGAGCCATTTCAGGAGTACATTTCTTAAGGACTATTGCAGTAATACCATCAAGTCTACATGCTTTGTGAAGATCCAGTTTAGCGATGATAGCAGAAACCATGGGCTGAGTTATATGATTCAATGGACACAGTTCTAACTGGAAATTCAGGCATCCAGATGAGTCAAGAATAGAATTTGAAGAGACTTTACATTATCAGCAGAAGATGTTAACACCTCAAATTGAGTGAAGAGAGGAGGAATAGAAGACTTATTCTTATTTAACACACTATTACAGAGCCACAGTATCCACAAGAACCAAACTTGTCAGAGGCTATATGGTAATTCATTTTCTCAGCAAAAACTTAGCCTCTGTTATAATAAGCGTTTGGTTGCAAGAGAATGGAATAACGATGATTAGATTTTGAAGAATGTTTATTGTTAATATATACAGTGTTGTACAGATATATCAAAGCTAGGTGAAATGTTTGTTTCAGTGGTTGATTGTCAGGATGGAGGTCAGGATTAAGACAAGCACCAGGAGTTGGCCTATTTCTTATTCTGTCCTGGCTGAGGTCACAGGATATGGTCGGTACACGTGTTGGTTGATCGAGGTCACAGTGGTTAGCAAAGTTACAAATCTGGCTGTGATGATACAAGAGTGTGAGTGTGAATAGTCAGAAGAAGTCACGAATCTGACTTTGCTGACACAGAGGATGCGAGCATTAAAAGTTGGGAGAAGTCACAAATCTGACTTTGTCGATATTAAACAAAAATCCAAACATTTTATAAAAAATGAACAAAATGCACTAAAAAGGGTGTAGATACAAAAATATTATGATGAGATTGGCTAGGGGACTGTGCTAAACCCTCCCCAATTTAAATATGTAATAGTAATTTATATTGGAATTTGTAATAACAATTTATATAGGAAGATGTAATAATAATTTATATTGGAATATGTAATAATTTATATTGAAATATGTAAAAATATATAAAAAATATTTGAGTACGTAATAATAATTTATATTTGAATACGTAATATTAATTTATATAGGAATATCTAATAGTAATCTTTTATCGGAATATCTAATTGTAATTTTTATTGAAGCAATTTATATTGGAATATGTAATAGTAATTTGCATAAGAATATGTAATTATATGTTCAATTGATTGAATCCAAAGTCTCCCAAGATGTGGACTTAAACAGTGAGATGTGCCATCAGAAGATTTCTTGCTCTTCTTGGACAAAATTATTATGACCTCAAACTTTTCACCCCAGTTTTAACAGTTTTCATGAGCCAAGATATAAAATATCTTTTTTAATTCTCTTGCAGTGGAAGAGATGCAGAAAGAAAACCAACAGCTGATGGCTGATGCACTCGAACAAGCAGAAACTGAAATGAGAAACCGGCTGGAAGTGATTAATGAAATTCGAGCCATGGCTGCAATGTCAACCAATCGGCATCAAAAACTCATTGATCTCACTCAAACAGCAAATATTGGCCTTCTGTGTGAAATGTCCCTTGTTGAGGTGAGACCTTTAGCCTGAATTTCCTGTTTCTCAGCAATAACCACTTTTTTTCACTTTTATTTCTCTTGGGTGTGCAGGTGGTGTAATAGATAGCAAGTCAGAATGAGAAATTGGAGAGCTGAGTTTGAATTCCTGTCAAGTTTTCTTGCATTTACTTTTATCTAAATACTTTTGGGAAAGGTATGAATTCATCTCTTCTTCCCTATGGATTAAATAATAGGGCAGACTGGGTTCTTTAGCTTTGGTTGGCAACTAGTCTACAAAAAGGACAGAACTGAATTCAAAACTGTATGTAGCTCTAGTGAAGCACATACTATGCAGCTTATGAATGGCATGTGGATTAGACAATGACTCTACAATCCTGACTGCATTCATTTAATCAATTAGTTTCTTCTTAAAGTTAGTTAGCACCAAATGAACCTGATGTTTGTGCCAACTGTATCTGACCTTGTCTACACCATCTTCTTTTTTAACAGCATCCATTTTTAATTGTGTACCGTTTCCTGTTTTTCTTACTTTTTCTCTCTTTTCATTTATATTTTCTTCACTATTTTCCTTGAAGCTCATCATTCCTTCTTGCTGTCTCATGTCACTCTCCTGTTTTCTCTCTCTTCCATTGCTGGGATGTTGTTATAAGTTTATCTAGGTCAGGGGGGCAACAGGAGAATATCTATGGTGACAAAGAAAAGAGTACTGAGTTGCGACATGACATTTGTCCTATATGGCAGCAAATGTTGGACAGTATCCTCAAGGATAAAGAAGAGACTCAAGGCAGCAGAGATGTGGTTCTACAGAGGGATGCTGAGGATATCATGGACTGAGCATGTGAGCAATGATGAGGTCCTGGAGAGGATGCAAACAAGGAGGAAGCTTATGCTTAACATAAGGAAGAGGCAGATGAAATTTCTGGGACACATGATGAGAAAAGTGGGCCTGGAGAATCTGATACTCTCAGGGCAAATAGAAAGAAAAAAAGACAGGGGAAAGCAGTTCATGATATATGTGGCAGGCTTGGGCAGGTGGATGGCAGAGCATAGTCTGGGGGAGTTGGCACAAACACAAAACCTGTTGAGAGCCACAAGGGATAGGGGGAAGTGGAGGGCCATGATCGCCTACATCCTGAAAGGACACGGCACATAAAAAGAAAAGATGGCAAGGGGTCTCACAGAGAAGGATCCGAAAGGGCCATTACATGCTTAGGGAGAGTTACAGTGGGTTAGAAACAGGATTGTCATCCAGGGTATTACAAATGGTGAGGGTATCATCTCCAGTGGGGAGAGAAGCATTAATTCCACTGGTGTGTGTATGTGGGGGGGTATCAACTCCACTGTAGAGTGGGGGTGCTTCAATTCCACTGGGAGGGAATGTCATTAACTCTGTTGGTAAATGTATACTTTTGCAGGAAAAAATTTGTCAGACAAAGATGTTTTTCTATTAGTTCCAAGACTAAAATTTTGGGAGAGATATCAAGTTATGCAGTGTGTGTGTATATATATATATATATATATATATATACACACATTATAAATGTGAATGTTAGTGTGTCACTGTGTCACACTTTTTCAACTTTACTCGTAGAGGCCATAGCCCAACATATCATACCATTTTGGAATCAGGCCAACTCTGTAAGCAAATTAAAGCATTCTGGGCAGGATCCATATTGCTGACAAAAATGCAAGGTTCCACATTTCAAACAAGGGTTATGAAGTTCACACGACGTAGTGGTAGAGATTGATTGGCAAAGTCAGGAGTTGAATAAAATGTAAAGTTAAATAAGAAAGACTCAAGTCTTGTGTTATTCATTTGTCTTCACATATTATTATAAACCCATATGACAACTTCATTATATTGAGAAGAGATCTTATTTCATATTAACTTGTCTCCTTTATTTTTGTCTTCTTTATATTTAATAACATTTCCACTCACATTTTTTGTTTCTTTTTTCATTTCTCTTATATTGCCATCAGCCTTTATCTCTCCTTGTTTTTCCAGCTGAAAGAACGTTTAATCTTGATGAAAACTGAGAAACAGAGGAAAATTGAACAAAAACGAGATGAAATCCTTGCTTCTAAGCAGGTGAAGTTGGTTAAGCATTTAATGTAGCATTCCTAAACCAACCATTTAATGTAGCATTCCTAAACCAACCACATAAACACATGTATGGGAGAATCTCAATATATCAGACAAATTGTAGTCCTGTGTATGATGATAAACTACAACCAGCAGCTAGGCCTCTGATTGTGAGATTAGAAGTTCTGAGGAATGTGGAACCATCTTTTAATTGCTGTTGTTCCCAGGTTCTCCTTGACCTGGGGGTAGTAGCACCTGTTAGGGTCCCACCTATGGACAAATAGTGAGCCCCCCCCCCAACATTGTGTCTATAAAAATATCTGTATCAACCAAGGTGAGAACAAGAGTTTGAAATAATAAAAGTAGATTGACAATTACTTATCTTAGAAATGATTACTTAATATAAAATTTGTTTCAACTTCAAAAATGATAAAAGATTTAATTCATACAAAACAAAATAATACTATGAAACTTGTAGCAGGAAATTGCACTATAGTCTGTAATATAGTTACAAAAAATACATCACTGAAACATCTAGGAATATAAATAAAAGATGATGTGAACACAAAGTGAATCACTTACAAATAATGTGCTCAATGCATAAGATGTTCATTGTAATATGTCTGATTATAACTTTGACTTAAAGAATGCAGTTTTAATTAAAAGGGAAGCTAATTTAAGATGAAAATGTATAGAAAGTGCACTAATTTCTGAGTCTTCCACAGTAAATTTACATCCAGGTTCTTACAGCATATCCCTTTATTTAACAAAAGTGCTGCTAATATAAAAATATATATATATATATATATATATATATAAAGGCAACAGCATCAAAAACCACAACAAAATGGTATAAAGGTGAATGAATTCAGTTAGACACATTGGATGCCAAAAATTTTAAATTTAAAGTTAAACATCTTTAGATTTTCATTGCTTCTCTAAGTGCATAATTATAACAGATGCATGACAAGCAGCAACACTCATCAGCAGTCAGGTTAGGTTTAAGGCTCCAAGTTCTTCACAGGATAATAACCTAGTAGATTAAAGCAATGGTTTGTGAATTCAAGGACATAGTAACTGTGAGTTCATTCCCTCAGCCAGGGAGTGTGTAACTTGGACTAAGTAAAAACAGAACAAGTAACAACTGATCAGTACTAAAATAAGAACTAGACAAGATATCCCTAGACATGAGCAGTGGAATGAAAATAATCCTGTCCTGGGTATGACTATAAACTACATCAGCCTCAAGGCCTCTGATTAGGAGATTTTGAAGAGCATGGAACCACTTCTTATTTACTGTTGTTCCCAGGTCCACCCAGAACACCTGTTAGGGTCCCAACTATGGGCAAAAAGTTAACTTTTAAACTGAGATCAAAACATTATGAAAGTATAAAAATACATTTTTATAGTAAAAATTACCAGCAATACATTTTTGTAAAAAGAAATTACTAATCCTCCCAAGAAAATTAAATTTTGAAATTGGCAAATTCCATAAGGAGTTGATATGCCGCTAAACAAACAAATGAGAATAATATATTCCCATAAAGTAAATAAAGGGTTCATTTCAAAATTCCCTGTAGGTTATCTGGAATGATAGGCACCTGATGAAGGTGGGAGGGCACAATGACTGAAACAATAAAAGATAAGGAGAATAGTCTGCATTACTTCCCTCTACATATATAAATATGATCCAACCAATAAAAACATTATTTACTCTGAAGAAGACCTTTTGAATGATGAAATGTGTTACTGGATGTTTTTCAATTTTGTCATTCAATTAAACACATGAATCTTGTATACCAACCCCATATTCTCTTGCACATACTTTCTTTTATTTGCTGTTGTTCCTCATTGAAAAAGAGTTCATTATAGCGCTCCAAAGAGTACCCAACACTTCCTGTTGTACTCAATCCTTAAAAGAGTCAACTCAAACAAGAAGTGGAGTATTGCTGTCATATCTGGGCTGGAGCTACACAATCTTCACCTTTCATCCCTGACAAAAATCAGCTTTGTGAGTGATCAATTATTTTCCACCTTACCACTGCTTTCACAACACAGATGTAAAATTGTTATTTCCGTGGCAAATGTTCAGGTGAGCTACATTCCTTAGTTCTACCAATTCAGACCTTTACAGCTAGGAACTGCCAGCCCATGTACACAGGGTTGAATCATCCTCATTATCTTTGTATTCCATTTGTAAGGAGGAAGTTCTATTCAGACAGCTTCTTCTTGAGAACTACTACTTTGTGGAATAGATTCCCAGGGAAATGCTTCCCTCATCACTACAACCTCTTTGCCTAAGGTCAACTGTTATCTATCTTACATATCTTTGTAATAAGCACCTCTTACTCCTTCCTTGTATGTACTCACAGCAACTTCATTTATTTCACTCTACTTTGAGTGGCTTTTGAGCCTTGTATCAGATGAACAATAGTATAATAAAAGAAGGGAAAAAAAAGCTACTCAGTCTGTGCTTCTTGCATATTCTGGTATAGGGACAAGCTATAAACTACCAGGCACTCATCTTTACCAGATGGCTCTATAAGTTATAGGGACAATGTTAGAAATAATATTAATAAGTCTGCTAAATCCTCATAATCAGCACTTACTCCTTCCTCTTATGTCTATACTGATTGTTTTAAGTTTATGTGTAGTTCAATGTTAGCCTCCCTGTTTATTAAATTCAAGTGAAGTTTATAAAAGGAAATTAAGTAAATTCACTTAATTTATGCATAAAGTTGAAAGAAAAACTTCAAGTTTTATATGCATGTGAGTGGGATATAGTTACACCCACAGATAAAAAGATCACACACACACACAAACAGATATAACAATGCACTGTGAGTGAAAGGTATCAATTATACAGAAGCTTAAACTGTTATAATTATATTTGTAATCAAAACTAAAACTAATTTTCTCTTTATTTTCTCTGCAGGCTTCACAGGATTTGGTTCTTGACACTTTAGAAATCATCTTAAAACATCGCAATGAAAACTCAGCATCCCGCAAGTAAGTAACTGCACATGACCTTTATGAAGTAGATATTAACATTTGATCATTTATTCCTAGATCACAAACGTATCATTTTGGTTATGGGCCAGAGTTGAAAAAAGTTCAAATAATTTATGAGGCGTTGAGTAATTTTTTGCTCTGGATAAAATGTCCAAATATGATTTGAATAATGCCCTTATAAAATAATCACCCTAATATATGTAATAATACCATAATATAATGTACTATATATCATAACACCCAAATTTAATATATTATATAATATACATAAAATACCCTAATATAATATATATATATATATAAAAGGCAGGATGTGTGTGTGTGTGTGTGTGTGTGTGTAACAAATTCACGGCCGCAATTTTTGACGGATTTGCACCAAAATTTACATGCACATGCTCCAAGTTAGCAGGAAGGCCAAGACCGACTTTGCATTTCCCAACTCCTATCAATAGTGGAAATAATTGATTTTTTTCATGCTTCTACGCCAGTTTTCATGTAGTTTGCAGCCATTTTGTACTGGCCAAAGTGAGAGCCTATAGCTGGCTACCACGAATAGGCAGGAAGATTCTATTGGTCAGCGTGAGAGCCAACAGCTGACTAACACGAATGTTAACTAGCATGCTAGCATGCAAAAAATATCAATAGCTGCATTCGTCACAAGTGGAAAAATTTAAATCTGCATGGCACTTTACTCCAATTGGCTCATTCACTTGCTTAAACTCAACGTTGATTCTGATTCCGCAGAACTGGGTTGGGTGTGAAAAAGTATTTGTTGTTAACATTCTTTTTCATTCGGTTTTTCCAGTTACGAGTCCTTTTTTTTTAAAGCTGATCGTTTTGTGTTCATTTTGTTTAGTTCTTTTTTCATAACAGATTTAATGTTTAGTATAGAGCTTAGAAAAAATTCGCAGTGTGAGATAGGCAAGAAGTAAGGCATGTAGCAACATCAGCATGGCAAAGGGCACTCCCTTAAAGGCAAGGAAGGGCAAAAATATTTTAAGTCAAGTGATAGCGATTGCTGTATGAGTCACACGATTTTTGAATCAAGCATGGGCAATGCTGGGCCATGCTGCTAATATATATATATATATATATATATATATATATATATCACTGGTGACTCTAGGTCACCAATGTTTGTCAGGTTCATTATAATCTTTAATAAAATATATAATTGGTATAACTAAATGCTAAAATGATTCCTTTACTCTAACTAAAATATATAATTTAAAAAATCTCTAGTCAAATATGTTTTTTTTCTTTTGAAAAAATAATGTGTGTCAAATCTCAAGTGTGTGTTTGTATATATGTCTATGAGTTAGTGTGTATCTCTGTAAATTTTTAGCTTAATTTATTCTACATTTTTGGGTCAGTGATCAGGGCAAAACCTACCCAAGTGACAACTGCAGAAGCGATCATCGTCCTCTTATATGTAAACTAAGAGTGAAACTGTGGAAATTGAAGAAGCCTAAAGCATTACCCAAACTGCAATTCAACAAACTCCTGAGCGATCCTAACCTAAAAGAAAAATACATAGACAATGTGAAAAGAAGATACGAAGCACACAATGGAAACTTGAAATGGGACGCACTAAGAGACGCTTTAGTGACGTTAGCAAACGATATCATCCCAAAGGAGACGAACGAAGAAGGAGAAATAAATGAATGACTGATGAGATTCTCAACATGATGGAAAGAAGACGGAAAACTCAGCCAAGATATGGAACAACATACAGAAAATTACACAAGGAAATAAGGACCAAATGCAGACAAACTAAAGAGGAATGGCTAAACAAAAAATGTGCAGAAATAGAAAGATTGAGTACTACCAACAAACAAGACATGTACAAACAAATAAGATAACTAACAGGACAGAAGACATGCACGTCGACAGGCTGCCTAAAATCAAAGTATGGAATGCTCATATTAGAAAAGGAAAAAATTCTTCAACGCTAGAGTGAGTATACTGGAGAAGTCTTCCACAACATAAGGGAACAACCAGCGATACACAGAACTACTGACAGACCTGGAATTCTGAAATCTGAAGTAAAAGCCGCACTGACCAAATTGAACAGAAACAAGGCAGCTGGATCAGATGGAATTGTAACGGAAATGCTGACAGCCTTAGATGACTTTGACATAGACAAGATTACCAAAATAACAAATGAAATCTACAACAGCAGGGATATACCGGAAGACCTCAGCAGATCTATCTTTGTAGCTATGCCTAAGAAAACAGGCACAAAAAAATGCAAACTCCACCAAACAATAAGTCTAATGAACAGAGCATGCAGCAGAATCATCCCAGAGATAGGACAATAACAGTGTGGGTTCATTAAAGACACCAGAACAAGGAACACAATATTCATGCTCAGATTGTCATCAGAAAGAGCGATACAGATGCAGAAGGACGTGTACCTATGTTTCATAGACTACGCAATGGCCTTTGACAAAGTATGCCACAAGTATCCGATGGAACTGCTGAGCAACCTTGATATATTTGGGAAAGATATCAGAATAATCAAGAACCTATACTGGCAGCAAACAGCATGCATGTGCATAAGGAGTGAGTTTAGTGAATATACAAAAATAGAAAGGAGCGTAAGGCAAGGATGCATCTTCTCACATGACCTGTTCAACCTATACAGCGAAGCAATTCTGAGAGAACTGGAAAGCCTACCAGGATTTAGCATTGGTGGCCACAATCTTAACAACATAAGATACGCAAAATCTCCTACAGAAGGTAGCAACAGAGTGTGAGAAGAAGGGACTAAGCATAAACTACAAGAAGACGTCAGTAAGAGGATGAGCCTGAAATGCAATTTGGGAACACTAGAATTGAGCAGACACAGAAGTTTAAATATCTGGGAAGCATCTTGACAGAGGACGGTAAGTGTGACATTGAGATCCATAGACATATTGGGATTGCCAAGGACACATTCCAAAAGCTAGGCAGAGTACTGCAAGACAGGAAGACTTCTTTGGTAACAAATACTGAACTGTTACGTGACATCTGTCCTTCTTTATGGCAGCAAATGTTGGACGATTTCCTCAAAGATGAAGAAGAGACTCAACAGAAATGTGGTTCTACAAAAGGATGCTAAGGATATCATGGACTGAGCGTGTGAGCAACGATGAGGTCTTAGAGAAGATGCAAACAAGGAGGAGGCTTATACTTAATATCAGGAGGAGACCGCTGATGTTTCTGGGACAAATAATAAGGATGGAGGGCCTGGAGTATCTGATACTCATAGGTCAAATAGAGGGCAAGAGAGTCAAGGGTAAACAACACACGACATACCTGGTGGACTTAAGCAAGTGGATGACAGAACATGGTCTGGGGGAGAAAGCAGATTGAAGGAACTTGTTGAGAGCTGCAAGGGATAGAGGGAGGTGGAGAGCCCCGATTGCCTACATCTTGAAAGGACATTGCACATAAAAAGAAAGAAGATCATGGCTGTTGACTGATATCATATTTTATCAACACTCAGCATTGTCAGTCACACTCCTCCAGTTGACACTTTGATTTTTGCTGACTTCAAGTTGGGATAAATTTGATTTGCCTTTCTTCAATTGATACATTCTTCTAAAAAACCTTATACTATACAGAATAAATTATTTAAAATGGACATTTGAAAGTAATCATTTGAAATAAAAATAATAAATAATGTGAAAAACAGGGCATACAAGTCATTATTTATGGAAATACATTGCCTATTAAGATTGTCTCAGGCTCAGATAGGGCTAAGACCTATGCAGCCCGACTGGCTTAATATTATTTCATTCTTTTTTTTACTTTCTTTCTTTCTGTCTATGTTTTCTTTCTTTCTTTCTTTATTATGAACAACATCAATGAAATGTATTTTGTTTGGCCAAGATTTTGAATTTATGGATCCAGCTGAAATCAAGAATGAAAACGACATTATAAAAGAGTTTTGTTGCTTTGAAATGTTGACTCACTTGGGCTGAGCCCAACAAACCCAACCACCAGAGTCACCACCGAATTTGTATATATATATATATATATATATATATATATATATATAATACCCTAATACATTATATGATATATATATAATAATACACTAATGTAATATCATCTGTTATATATATATATATATATATATAATACCCTAATATATATAATAATATTCTAATATATTATACAAAATATATAATAATGCCATAATATAATATATTATTTAACATATATAATAATATTCTAATATATTATGCAATATAATACCCTAACATATTAAATGATATATATAATAACATCCTAATAGGCCTTATGTCCACATCATGTTAAAATACTGGTTCTTGTACAATCACTATAGTTAAGCAACATAGAGTCTGGTCAGTACCTATATGGGTGATCACTTGGGTGCTGTGAGCTTCGATGTGCATGTGGTTTGGAATTGTTAAATGGAGTGATGAATTTTAATTCCAGTTGGGTTTGTTATATTCACTTACGTGCAAATACCTTTAGGAAAGGCATGAATCCATCTCTTCTCTCCCAAGCTGTGAGTTAATTAGTAAGATTTTATCATTAAATCATTATCTCCCCGCCAAAAAATTTCTGGCTTTAAATAACGTACAAAGGGTTGATAAGCCATAGAAAATGAATATAATATATATTAGACCTTAATATAATGTGTAATATATATACATATATATATTGTTACAGCTGGCACAACACAAAATAAGAAGAACCAGATTTGTTGAAATTAAGTTTGAAGAAAAGAGATTACACCTAATAATGAAATATAGATTTTATTTTACATATAGTACAATATATTTTAGAACAACAGGGATGAGGTTTAAAACAATATAAGTTAGGAAATGCTACCAAGTTACTAAGCGTTCGAGAGCCCAAAAAGTAGTTGGCTTAATGTGTAACTATACAAGGGAGAAAAAATCCACATTAGTTAAGATTAAGACAATGGATGGGAATTCATTGCTAGTCCAAGAATTATATTATTTTCTTCTTAAAAATAGTTTGATTAATTCATATATATATAAAATAAAAGAGTTTGATCAATAATATCAAGGAAAGGGGTGAAGTATTTATCAATAGTCTTTTCTTTTTGAGGACTGTAGGAATTTAGATTTTTTCAGTTGAAGCTTTGTTCTTGAATCAAAAGGACCGGAGTTGACCTCAATGGTCATGGCTGTGGGTTCAGGAGGCAACTGGCTAGTTTATATATGTTGTTTTGACCCTCTAGAACCCAGTAGAAGTTTCTAGAGACTTCTAGAAAGGAATTGACCCAATTGTTTGATTATACCTGTTAAAAGCACATTTTTTAGCAACTCTGTCATTTCATGTTTTGATATATATGTTATTGTTGTATATAAAATACCTTTAAACTATTCAATTGTCCTTTCTTTGTCATCTCTCTGACTTGATGTGAAAGTTGTTAAAAATCCCTTTAAGATGTGATACATTTTGATATTTTTTATCATTTGAGAAGGTAGGATCCTGTTCATAATATCAATACAATGTAAAATTGATCCCTGAATTTCTGCAGTTATCAGAACATAACTGTTTGTTTACAAATATCAAGTTTGAAACTGTGCTTATGTTATTGATATCTGCATATGAAAACAAACTTTTATTTTGCAAATATACATTTTTATGTTTTCCTTGATGGTACCTAGACTCATCAACTTACAGTTCAATTGGCGAGATGTAACCATAAATTCTATGCTAATAATTTATTTTCTCACACTTCTTGCATGGGGCTCCATGCTTTCTGGCCAACTTTGATTTTCAAAAATTTAAATGCAATATCGACTGTTATCCACTCTTCCTTTATTGTTCTCACTCCTGAATAATGTTTCTCTTTTTCCTTGTACCTTAGTGGCTTTTACTGCCTTGCATGGGGTGAATTTTATTTTTAAAAAAATTTTTTTTCTTTCTTTTATAATAGTATTTCTTGTCATTAAAGAACAAATAGATGCACAATTTTTTTAAGTAGAGTCATATTTTTAATTCTTCTTCTATATACCTTCAGGACATTGGCGAACATGGCTCTCCACAATTTCCTCTCCTTTGGAGCTCTTAGTAAATTTTGTCTTTTTTCTATCTCTCCTAAACCCTGTTCTGCTATCCATTTGCACAAGCTTGTTATGCAACAATATTTGTAAATAAAAACTAAGTGCAGATGACGCTGTGAAAGTCAGGGATCAGTTTGACACTGTATTTATATTATGAACAGAACCCCCTACCTTCTAAATCATTTCTGACAAATGTCAGGAAGGCCTAAAGAATGCTAATCTACAAAAATTTTTCATATGTTTTATGAGTGGACTTGTCTGTTTAACTAGTGCTGCTGTGACAATTCCCCACAATACTAACAGAGAGTGAAGTTTCATATTTGAAAATTGTCAATTTTGCACAAATTAGTTTGTGAAGAATTTGTGAAAAATTTCCTGTGAGATAATGCTAAGGAGCTTTACTCATCTCCTGACATTTCTTGTTCTGTTCTGCAGGAACCAAGTCAAAGAAAGAAAGCCTATGAAGCCAGAGATCACTGATGAAAAAGTGTTAGCCCTCAAGCAGGAACTGGCAGAAAAAAAATCTAAGAGACAGGAGCATCAAGTATCAAATTCTGTAAAGATTGGCTCAAAGAAACTGAACGACAACTACACAATCTTCACTAAGGTCAGACCAACAATATTATCATCCTAAAATTAAAGCATCAATTTTGGTGTTAAACTTCTGGTATTTCCCTGTTCCTTTTCTATAAATACTTTCATGGTAACTGTTCTGATGAACTTTCCTCTGTGGTACCTTGACTTTATGAATTTAAGTGCAGTACTAGATTGGTGGCAGGGTCTCATCATTTTACAGTTGAATTGGCCTCTAGATGTAACTGTAAGTTCTATGCTAACAGTTTCTTTTCTTGTACTTCTCACTTGTGGAACTCTCTTCTGGCTTCTTGCTTTCCAGTCAAGTTTTATCTTCAAAAATTTAAATGCAATGTCAATCGTTATCTTCTTAAATTCTGTTCTTTTATTGTTCTCTCTCCTTAAAAGTGTTTTTTCTCTCTCATATTCTCACACTCAGTGCTACCACCCGCAGTTAGTGTAGACCTAGGAACAACAGCAATTAAGAGGCAGTTCCATGCTCCTCAAAACCTCCAGTCTCTTGATCAGAGGTGTTGCTGCCAAATGTAGTTTATTGTCATATCTAGGACTGTGGTGACCTGGGAAATCTACATTTGCTCTTGTATGAATCAATGCTGGATTTCTGATTGCTAGACTGGTGATCCCCAAACTTTACCAGCAGGTTGTCTTATTCAAGAACAGTTTAAGATACAAAATTTTCTTTTGTGATCTGCTTTGAACTGTCAGTGTTCCATATTTTCAGTTGTATAACTCTTCCATCAACTAAACATGAAGCCTCTTGTTTTGTGTTTTTTTCTTTGTTTTCATGTTAAATGCAGGTAACACTTAAATTATTTTCATTATCTTTATTGTTTTCATTGATTATATTGCAACCAGCATGTTCTTTGTCTTCAGGGTGATGTTGCAATCAGTAATCTTATAAGAAAATGCCCAGGAGTCTTCCTGCCAAATTTTGCCAGCACTCCTTTTGAGCAGTTCAAACATCCAGATACACAAATTGGACTGTCACCATAACCCATTAACACCCTCCATAAAATCTGGTATTAATAATAAAAATAAAAATCCAGTACTGTAGGTTTATTAAAATATCTATAATAATTTCATTTTAATTAAAAAAAATAATTTTAGCTTAATAAAAAATTCAGTATTAATTATAGGCTTATACAAATCCAATATTAATCCAACATGGACTATATAGACTTAATACAAATATTAATCCAGTATTAGTTATATAGGCTTATACAAATCCAATATTAATTCAGTATTAATTATAAGCTTATACAAATCCTACATTAATTATAGGTTTATAAGAAAAATTAGGTATTAATTATATGTTTCTACTTATAACGCCCTTAATGATGCTGACCCTCTGAAAAATGTGATGTTTGGCAGGGTTAGGGTTATAGGGCAGGATGAACCTTGGCAAGAAAAAATAATTAAATAATAAAGAGAATGGTGTATGTGTGTTCAGATTATCATGAAAGCCACCAAGATATGCCTAAGGAAGGCCAGAGAATGAACTGGGTAAAATATCATGAACAAAACAACAACAATGAGGGTATTAGTCTGAGTAATTCATGAAAGGACATTACATCATTGCAAAACTGCCAAGAACTTTCTTTGCTTGTCAATTAATCATTTTAATATATATCATATAAGACTATGAAGAATATCAATAATTTAACCTTTTACTTCTAGACAAGGCTAGGGGTTCCCAGCCGACCCTCTTCCTTGGATTCCAGCCCACATCCCTAGCATTCACATCCCACACCAATAAGAAGACACTTCTGTCTTGGTATTAGGTGTACTGCAAATTCAAAAACAGCAACTATTCTAACACATATTTATTATGGCTTTTCTTAGATATCATTAGATTAAATGTCACCACATGACTGTCTATGACAACATTGCCCCACCTACAAAGCTAGAGCCTTAGCTCCAGCAGGCATCAGTCATCTGGTTTAGCTGGCATGTGACACAACCTGTCCAAATAACATCAACATGGCACAAACAAACATTCCGACATTTAACTTTGGACAACAAAATAAAACTGTTTATTCATGTATGGAGCTTATGTTAATTTTATTCTTTCTGACGGATATGCTTTCCTTAAGCATAAGTGAATTAGATTATGTTATATACATTTAATTTAAAAAAAAAAAAAAAGAAAAGTATTACTTGGTTCTAATTCTGATTTCTTACCAAACCTAATTTTTTGGCATCCTGGGTATGACAAATAATAAACTACGTCCGACTGCAAGGCCTCTGATCAGGAGGTTTTGAGGAGCATGGAACCACCTCTTAATTGCTGGTGTTCCCAGCTCCACCCTAACTCAGGGTGGTAGCACCTGTTAGAGTCCCAACTATGGGCAAATAGTTAACCCCCAAACTGGGGTCAAAACACTATGAAAGTGTCAAAATAGGTTTTAATACCAGCAATACATTTTTGTAAAAAATTATTACCAGCAATACTTCTTAAAAAAACAAATTACCAGCGATACATTTTTGAAGAAAAAAAATATTACCATCAATGCATTTTTGAAGGAAAAAAATATTTACTAGCAATATATTTTTTAACAAAAATATTACCAGCAATAAAAATCTTGTCGGCATTAAATAACCCATTGAAGTTGATATGCCATAAAACAAAACAAAAAAAAAAAAACAAACATATTTTTTCTAATCTACCACTTCTTCCCTACCACCCACCTGGATCATTCCACTGACCCTTCAAGTGTGACAATACTGCCCACTTTGGAAATTCCAGGACTGTACCCATTTTAATTGAAGACTGCAATTTTAAAGCATTCAACAAAATCCCAGTGACTCCTAAAACCAGTACATTAATCAATATACGTCCATGAATGCACCTTAATGAATCTGTCCAATTTATGTTTGACAGTTTTTACACACAGGCACTGCAGGCCAATTTTTAACAGTGTACATTTTAAAAAGATCAATAACAACCAATGTTTATGCACTTGACATTACCACTGACCTTTAAATCACACTTAACAGCCATTTTCAGGATTACATGGAAACTAAATAAGTTAAAATCTGACGAAATTGAGGCCAACATCTGTGATCTTTATCATAACTAACCTAGCCTTTATGATAATTTTAAATGCCCTCTTGTAATTGGATGAAGAGAGGGACTGGATTTTGTTTTCATCAGCAGTATATCTGTAGTCACTTAGTCACCACACTGCAAATTATGAAATAGCAATGACTTCACCACAGTTATTCTAATGCAAAATTTCTGTTTCAGATTGAAAACTATTGCAGCTTTTTCCCTTTTTCATTATATTTAATGAATGTTACTTATATAATGCTGGGCAAAGATTAACAGACATACCCACAAAAAAACAGAATGTCACAAAGATGCTTTTACTCTTCACATGACTATTACTGCATAATTCTGCAGCAATTTTTATTGTTTTAAAAAGCTATTATTAGAATTTTAATAAAACCCATATATATGAAACTGTATTTGTATATTTTTTCTTGAGAACTGACAACAAAAATGTTAAACACTATTTATTTATTAGATTGTCTATTTACAAGAATAATTTAGCAAAGTTTAAAAAATATATTTGCAAAAAGTTATGTGCCATGTGTGATACACACTTAGGCGATCATGTATCTTTTAACTGACAAGGCAATTTTTTTTTCCCTGCAGTAGGTTGCCATTTCTTTCCTCAGTAGACAATTTGCCATCCATGGCTATAGAACCCAGTCTGTCCTGCTATTTACACATAGCTGGGGAGAGAAGAGGATTCATACCTTTCCCAAGGGTATTAGCACGTAAGTGAATGTAATGGATTCGACTGGAATTCGATGCACAGTGGAGTAATGAACAGTGGCTCAGATTGAGGAATCGGAGGGCCAAGTTTAAATTCCAGTTGAATCAATTACATTCAGTTACATGCTAATACCCTTGGGAAAGGCATAAATCCTTTTCTTCTGCCCCCAGCTATGGGTAAATAGCAGGACAGAGCAGGTTCTATAGCCTTGGATGGCAACTGGTCTACCGCAGAAAGAAATGGCAACCTACTGCAGGGAAAAATCTGCCTCCTCAGTCATGTATCGAAAGATACATGATCACCTAAGCATGTATCACATGTGGCACATAACTGATTTGCAAAGAGAGGAAATATATACAGTAATAGTGATGTCAAAAGGAAATCTGTCATTTTGACATGCTATTTTTTTTTTTTTGTGCATAACTTTGTCTAATGTTATTTATGTCTAATGTTTCATTATGTTGTACTCATCACATTGTTATTTTTTTAAGGGTAATAATATTATAATGGAACACACCTATTCTATAGTTAATAGACTCTCCCACCTATAATAAGTAGGAGTAGTAGTAGGAGTCGCGGAGAGAGTTGGTCAGTCAGTTGATGTCGGATGACCATTAGTCGGATATTAAAGTATTAGCCACCCCAACTAGATTACTGCGTCATTACCTATTATATCAAGTTCCTAACGTTTTGTACGTCGAACCTATTTTAGGACCGACTTAGTACAAATACAAGCCTCCACTGTGAAACCACTACATAACAACTTTGTTCATCACAGTTATTCAAATATATAATTTTTATTCCACATTAAAAATCGTTGAAAATTTTTCTCTTTTTTTTCAGGTGCAGAAGGAGAGACTGCATTACAAACAAATGGAGATTTCTAAAGAAAAATCTGCCCAACAAAAATTCGGTCAGGCAGGGCATTTTAGGAGCATGGTCAAGTGATAAAGGATTTTAGTCAGTCAGGGGCACTTTGTGCCCAGTGTTAATCAAGAATGTTTTATTATTGAGACACTAAATCTAAGATTATTTATAATAAAAATAAGTCAGTTTGATAATCATTTATTTGTATTTTTATCATTTGTTATTAAGTACCAGTTTGATACCTGTCACTTTACTGATGGCAAGATGATTAAAATTAAAATCTAAATTGTTTGTCCCCTTAAAATAATAGATTAACTAAAAAAATTATATATATTCAGTTTAAATACAAAAGCAATCAAAAAATGGCTTAAAAGAGCTGATTTATACATTTTTCCTGTTACTCATAGGTTGGTGTCAGACAGGGAAATTAGCTCTGTTGACACAGATTTCAGTTTCATTCAAATTGTGTGTGTATATACACATTTGTATGTGTGCATGTATATTATTAATTCCCTGACAGACCTAAAATATTTCTACAAAATAAAAATTTAAAAAATTAAAAATAATTTATTACTGAATAATTTTTGAAAAGTTCAATAAAGTCTTATTATCTGATTTTTTTAGAATTTAAAAAATTAATTATTTTTTTCTTGTCTCCAAATTTTTTATTTTATTGCTCAGTTCATGGTAGAGGTTGTTCAGAGTGAGCGTGAGAGAAATATATTATTCCAATATCTCATTTCAAACTCTGTCAAATTGTGTATGTTTGTGTTTGTGTGTGTGTATGTACATTGAAAGGCACAAACACATGTAAGTCACTTACGCGCAATGCAGATATAAGCATGCATATATATATATATATATATATATATATATATATATATATATTACATCTGCACATACAAAGTCACACACACATCCAATGTGTGGCAGACAGAGAACTGGCTCCTCTTTTATAATATAGATTTTTAAACAAATCTACCTTTTGTCCATGCATTGAATATTGCTGCTATATCTGGTGTGGCACTCCTGCTTGAAAAAATTCAAAGAGGGTCTTTAAACAATCCTGACTTGGCATCTCAACTTCAGTCAGCTTCTCACCAACATAACGTCTATCCTTTCTACAAATATTTTCATGCAAACAGTTCTGTTGAGCTCTTTTGCTTAGTGCCTTGGCTACACAAATTTATGCATGCTACTAGGTTGACAACTATTTACTATTGAACCAGCTTAGATTCAACTGTCAGTTCCATTTTAATTTCTTTTCTCGTCTGTGGAATTCTTTTCTGATTTCTTGCTTCTCTGCCACCTACAATCTTAAAAAATTTAAGTCACCTTCTCACCAACGTAACATGGCTTCCCTCAGTCTTTTCTATCAATATTTTCATGAAAACTGTTCTGCTGAGTGCTTTTCCTTAGTGCCTCAACTACACAATTTTAAGCATGCTACTAGATTGGCAACTAGGTTTCAATAGTTTCTTTTTACACTATTTATATTGTTTGGACTGTTGTCCTCATATTTATTGCCATATTCAGGACATTTTGGCCATTATATGCTCCAGCCTTCGTCCAGTGATATATGCTAGAATTTCAAACCAAACACTTTATTTAATTCACAGGTGTAGATTGATAAAGAGTGTACAATGGCCAAAACATTGTGAATGTGACAAAATTCCAAATGATATAGTTACAATACTTCATCTGAGAAATATAGACGGATTGTATATATGTGTTTCACCTGAAACCCAATAGACCTTCAAAATCAAGCCGAATCATTGAGAATGTAACCGTTTATGATGACAGGAAACGAAGGGTCTGATTGGTTATATATCACTGTTCATATTTCAGTATTAGTTGACACTAGTTTTGATAGATGAATATAGTAACAAAATGAACTGCAATTCTTGTTTATTAATGAAATATTGATTTCCTGCCATGTTTTCCCTGCTTACCTTCATCCGTTGTGTTGATTTCACATTATTCGACAACAGCTGCTCACACCAGAGAATGCTGCATTTTGAACACTGACTGTAAATTGATCTGTCAAGTGAAGAATAATGAAATAATGATGAAATATGTAGACCAAATCTCTTCAAAGACCAAATTTTCCATGTTTATGCTTCTAAAATCCTGACTCTGAGATTAACTTTTTCCATACAGGAAGCATTGAACATTCATTGACCAAAAAGTCAGCATTACTGTTGGGGGAAATTTATAAAATCTTTTTCTTAAGATTGTTTTTCCACTCTTATCGCTCTGTAATGGGAGTGAAATATGGTAGAAAGATTTATTCTCCCATTTAATTTCCCGTTATGGGCATTATAATATCTGTGATATAATAACACTGATATTTCATGGATGAAACAGAATGGCTGAAAGGAAAAGGAATGATAAACATGCTTTGTTCTCAGAGAGACTTTTATACTACTAAGACATACACAAAACTATATACATAAGTGTCCCATGTGGAGAATAATATATCACATATATCTACACAGCAAAGCAGAGTGTAAGGAGAAACAAAAAGAAAGAGTCTTACATATAATATGGAGATACTCCTGTCTGGAGAAAGAATGTTTGGGACTCCTGATTCATCTATGTCCTAGGCAAGGAAACAGGAGCTGCAGTTTCATTCTATATCTGGGAAAGATATATTGCCAAAGGAACATGGCACAATATGCTTGTAAACTGCTAGGGGAGGTAGAGTTAGCCTTGGCCCAGGCTAAAAGAAAGTAACCTCATGTGGTGGCTGCTGTAAACAAACTGAATTTGACTGCAGTTTTTGTCACTGTATTAGTGATGTCACTAAGAGACCATTATATGACTTATCTTCACCAAAGGGCGATATAAGCACCTTCTGTATCCCTACAGCACTTTCTAGTACTGATGAGAGTTTTCTTCATAACCTTTTGCTAAAATCCATAAGGACAGGATCCCATTATGACCCATCTTGTCTATGATTGGGTCTGACCCCCACAAGGTCGCTGGTTGGCTCTCTTTAGTGCTACAACTAGTACTGTTGCACTTTATCAGCAGATTGATGGTGTAGCAATGGGTTCTCCTTTAAGTCCTGCTCTATTTTTATTGGTTTTCATGAAGCATCTTTATTTTCTTGTATTGATTGTCCTCTTATGTATCATCGTTATGTGAATGATACTTTTTGACTCTTCAATAACTCTGGGTGTTGACCTTAATGTCCACTTTTATATATATACATAACATAATACAAGTACACCACTGATTGTCTGGCACTCTTTTTTCCAGAAGCATGCCCAATTATCCATTTTGTCAGAGTGACAAAAGTAACATATTAATAATTCAACAACACACCTCCAACCCACTAATTATGCATTTCCTGTATCTCTACAGCATCGACTTTTAGAAACGATTAAGTACCAAACACGATATCACCTATAGTTGCCTAGTAAATTAGTCAAGTAAATTAAAATACCTACTTTGCATGTCTGTTGGAATTAAGGGTTGGTGGACCATAAATTGATAGAAAATCTGTAATGCACACGTATTCTTTTATGAGTTCATTTTACGGTCATGTAATTCTTTCTAGTGAATATTTTAACTCTACAATTAAATATGAAACATATTCATTGCAATTGCTATGAATTATTTTGTTCTCCATTCTTTCTTTTAGCAAAGTCCTGAGTATGACAATAAACTACATCCAGCAGCAAGGCCTCAGATGAGAAGACTGGAGGTTTTAATGAGTGTTTTTTTTTAGGTCAACTTTGATCCAGTGTGGTAGCCTCTCTTATGGTCCCTGCTATGAGCAAATAGTGAACAACCAAACAAAAACTAAACACTATGAAAGTATAAAAATATATTTTTATAGTAAAAATACTAGCAATACATTTTTATATTAAAAAATTGCCAACAATACCTATTTATAGTAGAATTACCAACAATACATTTTATTTGTAGTTGAAGGCATATAATTGCATTCAAAATTCTGGCATTACCCAGGCTGGTTGATATACCACTAAACAAAATCAGCCAACCAACCAAATTCGTTTAGTAGAAAAATTCATCATAACAATATTTCTTGAAATTTTTGATTCATTCTAAGATAAACTTTTAAAATTAAAATAAAACAAAGACAGGTTTATAAAATTGCCCAAAAGGATTTTAATAAATTAAATAACAAAAGTTGAAATGATGAAACATTTCACTCAGAATTTAAGAATAAATACAATATTGTTGCATCTGCCACTGGAGACAAAAAAAAATGGCTTTTTTAAAAGAATTTTGGCAAACATGGATAAATGTGCCTGCGATAAGACATGTCAAAAGGAGGGTTTTTCTCATGACACCACTTTTTTTAAAGTATTTTTCACTCGATGGCAATGTTTAATGTTTTAAAAAGTGAAGATTAGAATTGTAATAAAAACTAAACATGAAAATGAATTTATATATTTTCTTTGTTCTTGAGAATTGACAACAGAAATTTATTAGATTGTTGATTTACAAAAATAATTTTATATCTACAGCACATTCTAAAAATTAATACAATTAGAACTAATGAAATGCAATATTTATCATTTACCAATTTATAAAGAAATAAATATGAAAATTTTTTATTCATAAATTTATAAACATTTACTAAATTATTAAAATATATGAAACAACTATAAGGAAATCCTTCTTATTTACCATTTTATAAAGTTTGAATCAATTGGCAATTGATGTTTTGCCAACCAATAAATAATACAATAAATAGTGTAAATTTGAAAAAAAGTGATGTCATAGGAAAATGCGGGCATGTATATCTATGTTTGCCAAAATTTATTTAATGCTGAAAAATTATTTTAACCAAATAATTGAAGGAGGCTAAAGGTGACTTTTTTCATTTTTTTCCCTCACAACCAAAGGAGGCTGGGAAGCTGACCAGGTGGTGATCAATTGGATTACCTAAGAGAGTGGGGGTCTGATGTTACTTCAGGCCTGAAACCTCCAATGACAGTAGGAATAAAACATCACTGATGAATCATTCCCATGAATTGGAAGGATGTTTTATATATACCCAATAAATAAAAGGTATTGTCAAACAAGAAATAAATATTTTAATAAATTTAAATTTCTGTTAAAAGTTATTAAAACATTTTTTTCTTTAGTTAGGGGTTATTTATAGTTATCTTCCTTACCAGAAAGGTAACTTTTTAAAATAATGTTGAAAACCAAAAGATTTTTTTGAGAAGGGTGAATTTATCTGAGGCATATCATTTATTTTTGGTATATGTATATAACTGTTTGAGTGTGACATAATTTTGGTAATAAACTTTTCATTTTTTTTCATTTCTTTTGCTGAAAATTCTGGAAGTATTTTAACAAACAATGGAAAATGTAACACCGAAATCCAAAGGTGCATTGGAATAGTGAAAGCTGCATTTTGATGTTTCCATTTTTTTTAAAACTCCTTGTTGCTTACAAGCCCCATAAATGGTATTTCCAGCATCCTTCTGTAGAACCACATATCTGTTGCTTCAAATTTTCACTTCTTCTAGGAAGAAATTGTTCAGTAATCATTGCTATATACAAGGATTAAGATTACATAGCAGTTCAGCAATCTTTTCTTTGTTTCTAAAGAAATTTTCCTATCTCTTCATACTTTGTTTAGTCTCTGGATGACTCTTTTTCATCTCTGAGGAAATTATCCAGCATTCATTGCCATATAGAAGGATTGATATTACATAGCAGTTCAGCAATCTTTTCTTTGTTTCTAATGAAATTTTCCTATCTCTTCATACATTGTTTAGTCTCAGGATGGTCCTTCTTCATGAGGAAATTCAGTTTAGCAATCTTTTCTTTGTTTCTAATGACATTTTCTTATTTATTCATACTTTAGATTTTGGAAATCATCTTTCACTATTCCAATACATCTTCAGATTTCTGTGTTGTATTCTTCATTGTCTGTTGAAACCCTTCACAGATATTTAAAATTCAAAAAAAGAAAAGAAATGGAAAAAAAAAAGAAACCTGAAAAATTACCCTGCTGTTTACACATAAAAAATAAACTATATTTGTTTATGTCTTAAATTGATGGTCTTTCTCAATGAAATTTCAACAAATCTATATCTTTTTGCTGTTCATTAATAAACAATAACACCACACAAAAAAATGACAAAAAATACCCAGTCAAAAATATTTTTAAAAAACACACCAACAATGTCCATACTGATAGACATTAACATATCCCCACTCTTATTTTCTTATCTTCTCTTCTGCCATTTTGTTTATTTTTAAGAGTGAATCTGACCAGATTGTGAAACTGTCAAGCCGTGTTCAAATTACTATAGAGTTTGTTACATTCACTTTTGCACAAATACCCTTGGCAAATCCATCTGGTCTCCATCACCTTCATATGGATTGAATAGCAGGATAGAATGAGCTAGGAGAACAACAATTCTGGATTCAAAACTTAGCCATCTGAAGTTTTACAATGAAGGTTAGATATGGGGTGCAGATACTGTGTCTGCAAAAACAAAAACATGTCTGATTTCAACAGCTATGGACAACCCCTTGATTGTCCAGAATACTGTTGGCACCAATGGTTATAGGGCTTTAGGAAGGTGGACGGATATATGGACTGATTATTGACAATAATCCTCTAAAGTTATTTTAATGCAGAAATACCCCATCCTACGTCATTAATTGGTTCCAAGATGCATTTTTTTTTAAATATAAACTGTATGCAGTGCCTTAAAATAAAGACAAAAACCATAAAAGTTTAAATAACTTTGTGAAAGAATGAAATTATTTTTAAACCTTATAGAAAACTAAAATCACATTTTAGTAATATTTTTAAAGGATAATGAAAACAATAAAATTGTTATTTATTTTATGATTTCCCCTTCAAAATGCCTAAAGTATGACAACAAATGCCTTCCAATTAGAGTAAACAAGATGCAGAAAAATATAACTTTCGTTATGGCACAAAAATAATTTAAAGAATAACATTAATTGTTACTTTTTTGTGTTTTATTTATTTTAAATATATATTTTAAGGAAAGAATTGTTGAAGTCATAATTACCAATGTTGAAGTGGTCTGTCAGGGACTCGCCAGGTAAGTGAACGTATACTCTCTGGAAGAAATACATTGAGCTTATATTGAGCTCCATGGCAGAATTCATTACAAAAAACAGGTGAGACAGGCCAATCCAACAATAAAGCATTAGTTTCTATTAGCTGATGGTTGTGAGTTCAATTCCTGTGCTGGGCAATTCATAAGTATATAGAACAATAAGAAGAATAGCTTCTTTTATTATTAATTTTTCTGTTTTATTTATTTTAAATTTATTTTTAAAGAAAAATAATATACGTTTCATATCCTTTGATGGTAATCTATGTGATGTTGCTGAATGATGTAACGTTGAATGTAAAGGCATTTGCTGATCTGAAATTTACTCTAGATAAGTGGCATAAAGACAAATTTGACATAAAATGAGGTAATGAGGGGTATTACTGTATAGGTAATATTGGGTATTCTTGTGAATACATTATTAACTGATATATAAAGAAAATGCTTCTGCCTATATTTTTCAGATGAGCTGTTGTAACTATTTACCTTATTTACATTGTTCAGACTGTTGTCCTCATCTTTAATGTCATATTCATGATGTTTCAACCATTGTACGCTTCAGCCGTCTTCAGATGATATAGGTGGAAAATTCAAACCTTTATTTAGTCCACTGGGGTAGATTGTTCTAGTTCCATGTGCCATGCCTTTTCTGGATATCTCAGTTTCAGTTATTTCCCTTTAGTAACTCAAATCTCCAAGTTTTTGTTCACCTCTGCTGTGGCCAGGTATTGAACTCAAAACTCTTTGGGTCAAGTCACTGGATTACTTCAACCAATGCTTTTATTCACTGGGCCATATGTCCTTGGAGACAGAAAAGGCATGGCATGTGGAACTAGAACAATCTACCCGAGTGGACTAAATAAAGGGTTCAATCTGAAATGTCATGAATATGACAATAAAGATGAGGGCAACAGTCCAAACAATGGAAATAGTGTAAAAAGGAAATGCTTTTTTTTTTTTTTTTTTTTTTAAACAGGTTAAATTCACGAGTATTCTAACAAATCACTAGATACTCACAGTTGGACAGTGTTTAGAATAATGAGAAGAAATTATTGGGATAGATATGTGTACGCTTGGATAGTCACATTCACAAAACCCAGGATTACCAAAAAGACCAAGGAGGAAAATGAAGTTGTTCTAATGGTATCCTGGTAATATTGACAGGGATATTGACAAGTGCTGGCTGGTTCGAATTTTTCAGGGTATCCATGATCATCCAACTGATAGAAGAAAAAGAAAAAATTGATATCATTTTTAGAGCTCCAAATTTTTTACACATTAAACAAAAAAGAAAATAACTTTACAAAATAATCAGCAATTTTACTAATTAATTCAATAATCTGAGGTTTTTACTTCTGAATCAATATTTGAGAGATCACTAAATAAATGATAGGCCAAAATTTGGGGGCCACTTTGTGGACTTAATAATTAGTAAGTTTCATACATTATTTGGCTTTAACTCCTACCAAGCTAGGATGCTGAAACTATTAAACCCATTAGTCCATGGTGTTCAATTTTTTATAGAGGAAGTTACCTTAAATTTTAAATTTGCCAGCCCTAAGCAATATTTAAACTTTGTGCCTGCAAAAAACAGTATGTCAAAAGGATGGTTATTGCTTTGACACTGCTATTACTACTATAGACACTTTTGGCTTTCTCAACAATGTTTATTGTTTTAAAAAGTGATGATTAAAACTTTAATAAAACCCAAACATATAAAAGTGGATTTATACATTTTCTTTATTCTTGAGAACTGACAGCAAAGATGTTAAACACTATTTATTTATTAGATTGCTCATTTACAAGAATAATTATATATTTTTAAGATTATGAAAATATGTGAAACAACAATAATGAAATATTTATTATTTACTATTTTATAAAGAAATAAATATGAAAAAATATTTTTTTATTTCTAAATTTATAAAAATCTTGTAAATAAGCAAATTGTCAAAATATATTTACTATTCCATCGGATTTTCATCCAAATTTAAATCATTTGAGAGACTGTAAGTTCCTCAAGAATTTTTGGTTTATAAAAAGGAAAGAATTAGAAGTGGAGGTGATGTACAGATAACATGATAGTTATCAGAACAGGTAAGCAGCTGAGGAATTAGAGCATTGGTGTCCTGAGCATAAGACTCAGGTTTGAATCTCACCATGGTCGATTTGTCAAGGAAGGTGACTCCTTTTTGTGAGTGTTGAGGAATCATATATGTGCCTGAGCAGATGTTGACAACAAAGATTAGCCACTATAGCAGATGGGCATACATAGTAATGAGCAGCCAACCAATTTAAAAAGTTTTAATTTACAAAAGAATTATTTTTATCAAAATGGAAGTTGGAATTACAAGCTAAATTAAAGTTCTAGCTTTATCTATTGTGTCCGTGTCCCAATAATACCCTTGGAAAAGGCATGAATCCATTTCTTCCCTGACCAGGCTATTTAATCTTGGGTGGTAGCCAGTCTAAGAGTGAGTTCAAAACTGTGGAAAAAGCACTGGTAAACCACATTTTTCCCAAAAACCTCATACCATAGGTGGGATTATATACATATCACCCAACAGAGACTCAGTTCTAAAGAGGAAGTTAGGCAGGAACACTCCAGATGAGTCAAGAGTATAGTTTGAGGAGAATTTACAAGTGAAACATTCAGCTTTATCAGCAGAGAGATGTTCACACATTAAACTGTTTGAAGAGAGGAAGGCTAAAGAACTTACACTTATTTAATACACTATTACAGAGACACCAGTAATCATGAGAGCCAACATTTTTTTATGCAATATAGTGCCTCATTCTCTCAGCAAACAGAGACTTAGCTCCTTTGAGGACTTGTTTACATTTATTATGAACAGCAATGAATAGGTGCCTATTGTGACAAAAGCTGTTCTGCCAGTATAACCGAAAGTAGTGGTTCCTGTGGGCTATAAAGGCAGAGAATGCTGGTATAAACCATGGAGAAAATTGAGGTTTCACCTGGTATTTCCGAGAAGGAATGAAAGCATCCATGCCAGCTTTGACCCAAGAGGAAACCTCAGTGGCACAATTCTCAATTTAAAGGTTAAAACTGTCAGTCCAATGGGTATTCGAAGAAAATCATGATGTGAGTCCCAATCAGCATGTTGGTAATAGAAAGAGGTCTTATGAATAGGAGGTTCCTGTTTGATAGATGATTGGAACAAAATATCAATAGATAGTACAGAGTGATTTGAGTTTCAAAGAGGACAGCGTTGTGAAGCTTGGCAAAAGCAAGGAGAAGAGATAAGTAGAGAAACCTGTTATTTGGATTTGCTAGGGAACAGGTAGGAAAATCCACAATTTGAGTAAGAGATTGCGCAATGGAAAAATTTAATGTCTTAATACTGACAACACTGGTGACAGAATGTTTAAGCTATGTGTGATGGTGCACATTAAAATCACTGAAGACAAAGATAGCATTTTGAAAAAAAAAATTCTACTCAAGTTATAGTTTAACTAGCAGTATAAACCAAGTTCTCTTGCCTTGAGTGGTAGCCACTCTAGAAGATGGAAAACACTGAATTCAAAACCGTGGAGAAAGCAACCGGTTAACTGCTCCACTATCTTTCCCAATTGAAAGTTAATAAAGAAATGTAATATTTAGAGAGCCATGATTGCCTTTGTCCTGAAAGGTGTTAAATTGTTGAGTGGCTCAGATGTGTGTATTTGCTACCCAGTACAAGTATTGAACTGATAGCCTTCTGCTAATGTAAAAAACAAAACAAAAAAAGCCACCTTTAGTATCATCTCTATTATTTATGCAGTAGTGTCCAATTGATGTGATGTTTGGCTTGGTTTATTTTGTTTTACAGCATATCAACACTCCAGTGGGTTATTTAATGCCAACAAGATTTTTAGGATAAGTTTGTATGAATAGAATATGTATTCTTTGTAAGAAATCAGTTTGTAGATCAAATTTCATTGACATATTTTTGTAAAGAGGGTTTTTGTCAAGAGTCGAATAAATTGCTAGTAAATATTTTTTCAAAAATGTATTGCTGGTATTTTTACTATAAAAATCTATTTTTATACTTTCATATTGTTTCATTTTAACCAGTGCTCATATTGCAATTTTTTTGTTATTCTTATTTCATTTTTTACCAGAGCTTATATTGCAATTTCTGTTATTTATTGCTTTTCTCAAGCACTCCTTATTACTAGTTCCCATATTGTATTCATTTCTATGCTTGGTTGGCTAAGGAGATTTTGTGGCCTAGCATATGTGCTGATACCCTAAATTTTCGTACTTTCCTATGATGTTCTCTATTATTTCAACCTCAACCCACAGGAGGCGGTGCTCTCCTTTTTCCTTCCATATGTGGTCAGCTAGACCTGATTTTTACTGATATGGATCACAGATCTTTTGTATTTTCTCTGATAATCCCTTCACATAGGGTAGGGCTGACTGAAGCTGTTTTCTGAATGTTTCTCTTGTGTCCCTCTATCCTAGTTTGTCAGAGCTGCTGCCATGTACCTGGGGGTTGTCAATTTTAATGCCTTCAAAACTAAACTTCTTTCCATTAACCATCTCAGATACCCCTCTCTGCCTTCCATCAGTATGGCTGATGCTAACCTCCAGGGAAGTGACTCATTGCACCTTCTTGGGCTAATGTTCTCAGCTGACATGAAGTGGAAAGACTATATTGGATACATTGCTAGATTAGATGCTAAGAAGGTTGGTTCACTGTGTTATACAAGACAATTTTTCTCTCCAGAATCTTTCTTGCATATCTATAAGTCTACCATTTGTCCATGCTTAGAATATTGCTGCCATATATGGTCTGGTGCCCCTGCTATTTACCTAGAGCTCCTTGATAAGATCCAAAGAAGAATCAGCAATATTATTGGTAAAGTTGCATCTTTGTGCCTTTTTTATAAATACGTTCATGATAATTGTTTGGATGATCTCTTCACTATGATACCTAGACTTTATGAATTTAAGCATAACTGGCATCAAGATCATATCAATTTACAGTTGATCAGGTTAGATGTAGCTGTAAGTTCTATGCTAGCAGTTTCTTTTCTCACACTTCTTGCTTGTGGAACTCCCTTCTGGCTCCATGTTTTCCAGCCAACTCTAATTTGCAAAAATTTAAATGCAATGTCAACTGTCATCCTGATTGCAACTCTACTGTTTCTACTCATTACTAATGCTTTTGTAACTACTTCCTCCACACCCTGTAACTCCTTGCTTAAGGTGGTACTGATTAAAAAGAAGTCATAGAGCAGTGAGAGGCTTGCCACATCCCATCTGTTAGAGAAAGATTGGAGAGTGGAAATTAATTTGTCACCCACAAGAACTCAGAGATGCTTTTGGGCTCTATATGGCTAGAAAGTGCATATCTGGGCAGCTCCCATGCAAATATGACAATAGTATTCCATTCTTGGCCTGATCTGGCTCTTGTAAAGGTAGAGGATAGCAAGTGGAGCCAGTTACTTACTGGGGCGGTACAGAGAGTCAACCATTTTACTTGCATCTTTAGTGGTGGAGCATATGTATGAGCTCCACTTAAGGTCAGGTATGAGCTAGCACTCTTTTTGGGGGACAATTTTACTGCTACTCCTGATAGACTAAAAGATCTTTCCTTTGACCTAATGGCTTATAACTCAATTCTCATAAGTGACTCTATCCTGCTGTCCTCTTTGTCCATCTTTATATCATGATGGACAGTTTGTTACTGACCATTCTAGAATTTAGCCTGACTATATAAACCCAAAACAAAACATTTCTCCCTTCTGACTGAATGGGACTTGATCCTGAAAGTTTTCATTTATTTATTTACTTTTTCTCGTTTTTTTGGTTACTTTAAAGTTCTCAGATCAATGATTTTACTGGCAGTCATAAAACACCAATTGCTTCAGGCTCAGATAAAACCATTTACAGTTCACATGAATATATGGATGTCTGACTTCACATCTAGATCAGTGTCATGCTCACTGTGTCGTATTTCCATAGTTTGGAATTCAGAGCTTTTTTTTTCCTCTGGTTACTACCTAAACCTAGAGAGCTCAGTGTACCTTGTTATTTAACCCATATATGTGGGAGAAGAGACAAATGCATGCATGCATTTCCCGATAGTATTTATGTGAATTAGGATATTTTGGGACAAAACACTGTGTACATATTAAATTAATTTCCATTTTATCTTATTTTTTTTCAAATGATTTCCACAACACGACCAGCTGCTGGATTTAATCTGCTTATAGGACTTGTGGATTTTCACCCCAAACAAGGTGAGAGTACCACTAGCATGCAAGGAGTTATAGAGAGCAAAAGCAAAAGTAAAGAGGTATGATAGAAGAAAGGGGAATAGGTCAAGGCATCCGTAGATGTCATTTGACATTGCATTTGAATAGTTGGAGATTATAGGTATCAGGGAAGCAAGTAAGAAGAAGCCACAGACAGGAAGTGCAAGAAGCTATTGAAGTAGAAGAGACAGCTACATTTAACCGTTTCGACAGTGAAAGGGTGGGACTGAGATGCCGACCTAGTGGCACGTTTAAATTCATGCAGTTTGGGAACTAGCGAAAATAGCTTGTAAATACTTACCCATCTTTACCAAGTAAAAAAAAGGCTGGGATGTTAACAGTTCGACCAGTGTTGTCATGAATCATACTGATGTATTCATTGTCATTTGCCTCATTGTTGTCTGCAATAATAACTGCAATGGCACCAGCCTGTTCAGCATGTCTACTCTTTGTCACGAATGTGCATTTTCTGAAATATTTAGTAATAAGTATAAAAGCAACACAAATAACTGTTAAGTACAACACAAAGATCTATTTGAACTGCAAGGAAAACTTTATTTATTTGGAAAAGATATTAGAATAATCCCCCAGCTATGGGTAAAATAGCAGGACAGACTGGGTTCTATTGCTTTAGGTGGCAACAAGTCTAGGAGAATGAAACTGAATTCAAACCAGTAGGTCCTGATTCTTTAGGCAAAAGCTAGAAGAACATAACTTCAAAAATAAATCCACCTCATAATATGCAAATGACACTGTAATGATGGTAGACACAGAAAGAAAACTGCAGCAACTCCAAGACAAGGTAGTAATGAAAAGAAAGTAGAAAGAACTAACCATCACTTTGATATGGTACAACACAAAGATCTACTTGAACTGCAAGGAAAATGGATTCATTTAGGAAAGATATTAGAATAAGTCAGGATATACATTTGGAGCAAACTGCCTTCATATGGATAGAAAAGTACATAAAAATAGAAAAATGCATAAGACAAGGATGAGTCTTCTCACCAGATTTATTTGATTGGCTTGGTTTGGTTTGTTTGACGGTATACCAATTCTTTATAGATTATTTGATACCAAAATTTTATTTTCTTGTGAGCTTTGGCAATTTTTTTTTTTTTACTATGAAAATGTATTGCTGGTAATTTTTCTAATGTATTTTTATACTTTCATGTTTTGATCTCAGTCTGGGGGTTCACTATTTGCTTATAGCTGGGACCCTAACAGGTGCTACCACTCTGGGTCAGAGTGAACATAGGAACAGCAATTAAGAGGTGGTTCCATGCCACTTAAAACCTCCCAACAGAGGCCTTGTTGCTGGATGTAGTTTATCGTCATACCCAGGATGAAGATTTATTTTACCTTTACAGCAAAGAAATACTAAGAGAACTGGAAGTCCTACCAGGATTCATTATTCATGATTGCCTATGTCCTGAAGGAACATAACAAATAGAAGAAAAATAAGATTTATTTTACTGTTCCTTTCTATTATTTTTGGAACATTAATATTAATAATAAAAATATCAATTAACTACAAGTATATTTTAGAGTTACTTATATTTTTAAACTGCATGATGAACAAAGATTGCCCTGTGTAAATTGAATGACCACACACTAGTGGTTTGGTGTCACTTTTAATATAATATATATGTTAGTACTTTTTAGTTGGTACACCAAGCTAGTAAATATCTGAAAGGTGCTAAAAACAGACAGAAAAATGGCCAATTTTGAAATACATAACAACTAAATGAAGCCTAGTCTTTTTATCAAATATTATATTCTGCTTCAAACTAGATCTCTTTCCGATTCACTTTACATCAAAAAATTTGTCGGACAGATGTGAATGCAAAGAAAGTAAAAATAAAAATAAAAAAGTCACTCTGCACAAGGATTCCGAGCATCACATCTAGCTTTCAAAACAAATCCCCTTCTGCAAAAATATAAAATACAATGTAAAACAAGCTAATCATAAATGTTGCCACTAAAGCAAAAGGCATGACAAAACATGCTGAATCATGACCCACCCACCTAGTCTGTGCTTAAGAATGCCACTCACAACACTGTCAACAGTCCCAGCAAGTGGGCATGTTGTCAACATCACCACTAATGACCTCGGTCAACCAACCCAACACAGGCATCAACTCCAGACCCTACTGACTCTCCCCATCCTCCTGGTCATTTCCTACATCCAGAAACATTCCACTTTGATCCTCTATATCAGCAAGAATTTTGTCTTAACAATACTTGTATTTTCTTTTCACCCCATTGGCAGTACTTGTTTTGTTTTTTCCCTTGTGCTACCATACACACATTTATAATAAATATATACATATATATTACTTACTCTTTTTTGAGTAAAACAATAGAACCATCCACCATGATGCTATTATAGAGGGGAGAGCAACCATGATAAGGCCAACCAATGACCAAATTCACTTTATGGTATGTATGTAACTGTAATGGAAAAAAAAATACTTTATTTTGATATAGAACAGAAACGAGTCCTTTAAGTATTGTATGGAATTCCATTGTACTATAAAATTTTACTTATAAAACTGTTTTCTATAATGTGATGAGTGTGACAAGAAGAAATTTCAAAAGAAACAAAAACAAGTCTCCTATCTTAAATGGATATGAGACTCATTTAAGTTTTTTAAAAAAGTTTTATAAAAACAAAGATGTAATAAATAATTGAATAGAAATTGATGAACAAGCCTAAAAATATCCAATTATATGAATTGAATTTTTTTAAAATTTGAAACAGAAACTTATGTAATTTTATTTTTAAATGAAAGGTGGTTTTTAACCTATGTGTTCCTTCAGGATATAGGCAATTATGGCTCTCCATAGATTACTTTTGTGGTAAATTTAGACAAAGATGCATGCAATAAGATGGAGTGTCAAAAGGATGGTTTTTCCCTTGACACTGCTATTATTTTAACTACCTTCACTTTTTGGTAATGTTTATTGTTTTAAAAAGCGATGATTAGAATTGTAATAAAACCTAAATGTATGAAAGTGAATTTATACATTTTCTTTGTTTTTGAGAATTGACGAGAAAAAATAAAGCACACTATTTATCTATTATATTGCTAATTGGAATGGTTGGCAAAACATCAGCTAATTGCCAATTGATTCAAACTTTATAAAATGGTAAATAAAGATTTCCTTATAGCTGTTTCACATATTTTAATAATTTAGTAAATGTTTATAAATTTAATGAATAAAAAATTGTTTTCTTATTTATTTGTTTATAAATTGATTAATGATAAATATTGCAATGCATTAGTTTTAATTATATTAGTTTTTAAAATGTTGTAAATATAGAATTATTCTTGTAAATAAACAATCTAATAAATAGTGTTTAATATTTTTGTTGAAAATTCTCAACAAAAAATGCATAACTTCACTTTCATCATATGTTTAGGTTTTATTTCAATTCTAATCATCATTTTGTAAAACAACAAACATTACCAAGGAGTAACAGTAATTAAAATAATAGCGGTGTAAAGGGAAAAACTGACCTTTTGACACAGTGTTTTTTTGCGGACATATAGGTCCCAAGTTTGCCAAAAAAGGAAACTACAGATGTCCATGATCATCATGGATGATAAAAACTTACAAATGAGGTTCCAAAGTTCTTTGCAGACTTCATCATGTACATATATGCAATTTTATCAGGAGATAGAATTTCCATATACTGGTAACTTTCCATATACTGGTAACTCCCTGTTGTACCGATTCCATGGAGCCAACACACTGTTCCAAAAGAGAGAGAGAGAGAGAAAGAAATAAAATATGAAAGCAATTTTTTTTTTTTCTTTAATCATTTCTCACTTGCAAGGCGATAATCCTGTGGTTGCAGAGAGTAATAGAATAAGAAAAGAGAGAATGGGGGAGGAAAAGACAAAAAAAGGAAACTGAAATATCTGAAGGCACAGTATGTAAAATTAGAACAATCTACCCCTGTGGACTAAATAAAATGTTTGGTTCAAAATTCCAAGAAATATCACCTGAAGCAGGCTGGTGTGTACAACAGCTGAAACATCATGATTATGGTAATAAAGAGGACAACAGTCCAAACAATGTAAATAGTGATAACAAAGATATTACACACTATTTATTAGATTGCTTATTTAATGTTTTGACAGTTATTTTTTGGTATTTTTTTTTTAAAATTAGCAATGATTTTTAAAACTTTTTCAAAATAAATATTGCTTTGTAGTTGATTTACATATTCTGATAATTTTGCAATTTTTTTATAAATTTTTTAATAAAAAGATTTTCAAATTTATTTCTTTATAAAATGGTAAATAATAAATATCACATTCTACTTGGTTCACATATTTTTATAATCTTTTAAAACCATTGCTGAGGAAGTCAAAAAAGTGTATACACTAATAACGGTGCTCAGGGAATAACCGTTTTGATACGCCGTTTATTTTTACAGGCACAACAAAAGTTAAACATTGCCGAAAAAAATTTCAACCACAAATCATCAAAAAAGCAAAATTTAATTTTTTTTTTTTTAATTAGCAATGAATTTTTATTCGTTAGACTTCCTTTTCATTAATGTTATATTTTGATAATTTTCAGGAAAATATTCCAATGTTTCCCAAACTATGAATTCAGAAAAATTAGGAAATTTACATAATTTTAATAATTTTACCAAATAGTCTTTTAAGAGGAATTCGCTAAAAAATGTCTGACAGAAAGAAAATATAAGGGAGGTAACTCAGCTGATTTGGAGTGATTTTTTGTAATTTCTTTGAAAACACTTTTCAAACCAAAAAAAAAAAATAAATGAAAGTACACATAATTTGTTCAGTTAGAAAGCATTCATGATTTTTTTTTTACGAACTATTACTTTTACATGCTTTTTTTAATATAATTCTAAGAATATAGTTTTTTGTTTTGCGTGTTTCATTAAAAATTCGTTTCATTTTTAAATTTTTATAAAAAAATGATTTTTCACGTAATTAAAATGTTGAAAAATTATTGTTATTGCTGATAAATTTTACAAACAAAAAACTAATGTCTGAAGAATCTTTCCCTAAAGGCTTTACATCATTTTTAGTTTGTTTCATATTATCGGTGAATAATTGGCGATATCGGGACATCAAAGTTTTATGGAATACTTAACCGAAGTGTTAGTTCCTGAAATTCCTGCTTTGAACCATGAATTTTTAACAAGAATATTTTTGTTGTTTGGTATTTTCAAAATATTTTTTTGCTAAATAAAATTTTATTGTTTGTGAAGGTTATTGTACAATCCGAATGTAAACAATAAAATTAAAAAGAAAAAATGAACACCAAGACTAAGAGCATTTCTACACACTAAGTTAAATCTTGAAACTCACTTCTTACTTAGTTGGTATATTTTTTTTGTTTTTTGTTGTTGTTGTTGTTGTTTTACCTTTTTGGGTAGGAAAACGTGGTTCGTCTCTAAAAAGTTGTTTCAAAGACTTGATCGGTGTTCAGTTCATTTCTTAAATCCAATATAACCAAACAATAAAAATAAAATCTATTCTAGATTTAAGAAAAACGCAACTAGTAGCTGGTCTTTTTAAGACACAATTTTTAAAAATGGTCAACTTAACTAGGAAAAGGAAGATAGCTCGAGAGAAAGAACATGGCTGCCTTCGTTTATTTTTTTCTCCCCGAGACTTTCGGTGTGCAGAAGTAGAAACTCATTAAGATCTAGAGACCATTTTCATATTATTTTTTTAAACACGGAGTTTCTTTCAATAACGACTGACCACCTCTTTGTCGTACTTCATCTCCTTTTAAGTTCACTCAGAAGTCCCTGAAGAAAATGACGGACAAAACAATCGAAACGTTACATAAATAACAGTTAACTACTACAAAAACGCTATGAAAGTAAAATCCAACAATTACTTTATTTTTTTTTTTTTAAGAATTTCTAAATCAATTTGTTTCAATTGCACAAAAAGCAAAAAGAAACGCACAATTTTCCCGCACAAATTCAATGTTCCGTTTTTTTACGTCCCCTCCCGGAAAAAAAAATAAACACAACAAAAAATTTTTTTTAACCAAACTTTCTTGGGTTAAATAAAGAACAAAAAAGTCATTTTCGCATAAAAAATCTTTTGATCTTCTCTCTTAGTCTTTGACACAAAGATTTTTTTTTTTGTTTTGTTTTTTGGCCATTTTTCCGCATGTATCCTTTTTTAGCGAATCTTTAGAAAGGTATCTAAAAAAGCCAAAAGCGCATAACAGATTTCTGTTACAGTTACATTATTGTTGATTACAAGTATATTAAGCTTTCTTTGTTGAATCTGATGATTTGAAATGAGAATAATATTGAAAATTGAAAACGTGCCTCTTCATTTCTTCCGTACAGCACTTTTGAAATGACAAAAATAAAAATAACAACAAAAAACATTATTTGGTATCGGACTTTTAATTGTGTGTGTAAGCCAAAAGTTTTCTCCAGGCTGCTTAATGAACGGTAACAATTCATTTTTTTTTTTTTTTAACGCAACGGGTTGGGAACCTCAGATTGAATGAACCCTCACTCCTGCAGATATTTCGCTAAGGGTAAAAAAATAAAAAATAAAAATAAATAAAAAAACAACTTTTTAAATTTTTTTCCCTTCGAATTTTTAAAGAAAACTTATATAGCTATGAAAAAAAAAAATTTTAAATTACAATCAAATCTCCGATATTACGAATTATTAATCGGTAACCCCAAAAATACAATCAGTACGATTGTGTGCTTATTCATTGTACAACAAAAAAGGTAGACTGGAAAATTGTGAAATAATCAGCAACAATGAAAACGTGGCGAAAATTTTAAAATGTTTCTCTAGCAGACGAAAGCCTGACTGAATTGCAATATGAGTGACTAATAGTCCGTAAGAATATTCTAAAACAAAGATGTAGGGTATTTTATGTAATTACTAACCTGTTGTGAATAATAGTAGCAAATAAGAGCAGTAACCAGACATGGAGAAGAAGAGGTGTTTTAACGCAAATAGCAATGATGAACTTGTTTAAATCACAAACACAACACGGTGGAGGAGTGTGTGCGTGTGTTTGTTAGTCTGTTACCTGCGTACATGCGACAATAAATAGAATTTATTAGTGTTCTTGGGTAGCTGTGGAAGTAAGACTGCTTACTTGCTTGTATTCATCTTTCATCTTTCTAACAAAGTTCTGGAACTCGCATCTGAAATTGCATCATTTCACTCACCACAAAAATGTCAATGTTTTTTTTTTTCTTTTTTTTTTCTTTTTCATTTATTAAAATTAAAGTAATCAATAAATTATTTTTACGTTAAAAATAATTCATATTACTAACATTATTTTTTTTGTTCATCGATAATTCAGACAAGATTGTTTCGGAGGAGTTGGTTAAATAGGAAAAATATGTATATCAGAAGAAGGTCTATTTTTTTGTGTTGGCTGCATCAATTTCTCCACAAACATTTAACTTTGGTTATGGCACAAGGCTATCAAATCCAAAATATAAAACAACGATATGTTTTCTAGAAATAAAACATTATCAACAATATACAAAACTGAAGAATGAATTTACTCAGGTAATTTAAACTGAGTTGCAAATTGTTACAAAGTATATGCTAAATGTGTAGCATTTATAATTAATAATATAGCAGGAGTTATCTACCTTTAACTGGAAATTCTTAAAGACTTAAGAGAAAATATTTTTATCTGAAATCACAAAAGATTTCAATTGATGAAATAAAGTTCAGTCTCAATGAAAGAAATCTTCAAAGTTGATTTTTGAATAAAATATTTGTTTGGCAAACTGTATGTTCTTTGAGTAGAATTCTTGTTGTCTTGATAAAAATCGTAGATGTTAAAATGGTAATGTAGTTTTTTGGTGAGTGAGTGAATTCGAAGTTTGGGATTATGTTAGGAAATCTAACTTAGAAACTTCAAAGATTTGAACAGCGTGAATTTGTTTAGTGAATTGTTTGATGCCACAAAGCTCACTGTTAGAAGTTGATAAGTGTCCTTGTAGTTGAAGGAGTGAATAAGATAAGTTAAGAAATGTGCAATGTTCGTATGTATGTGTGTGTGCACATGTGTGCATGTCATAGAGTCTTCATAATATTTTCCCTTAAAGGGACAAATGCAATTTCTCTACAGAGATTACATCTTGTGTGTGAGAGAAAGCAAAAGAGAGAAAGAGTTGAAAACGTTGCTTGGTATTTATAATGTTGTATGTCATGTGATAGGCTCGAAACACAGACAGATTTTTGGCAGTAAATTAATTTCAACTGTGCAGACATAATGGAAAACATGATATTAGCATTAATTGACCACTCAGGAGACAGAGAAATATTAAGTCTCTGTGATCCACCTTTTTACAAATTTTGTCAATCACAGTACTCTTATGTAGAAAATATATTGGAATCTTTTTTAACCAATGGAATTAGATCAGAAATAAAATATTAAATTGATGTAGAACACTAAAAGATAAATATTTTTTGTATTTTGAATTCCCTCATCACTTTGAAGAATTTAACCATACAATTTTCTTCCTATATCTTAATAATAAACACAATTTTTTTTTCCAATTTTCTGAAATTGTAAATTTAATCATGTGGTTGGTTGATTTTGTTTAGTGGCATATCAACCTCTATGGATCATTTAATGCTGAAATCTAAATATTTTTGTACACTATTTTTTTTATTTTTGGAGATAATAATGGTTTAGCAATACAAGTCTTACTAATTAACTCATAGCTGGGGGAAGAAGAGGTGGGTTCATACCTTTTCCAAGGGTATCAGTGCCTAAGTGAATATAACAAACACAACCGAAACTGGAACTTGACAATCTGATTAACAATTCTGAGTCATCATCCATGACACCACCCAGACATCCAAGCTTACAGCACCCGGTATTCTGAAGTGTTAACCCATCTAGATACTGATCAGACTCAATGTTGTTTAAATTTGGTGAGTGTACAGAACCGTTGTTTCAACGGGATGTGGCCGTAAGCCCACTTGTGTGTGTTTGTGTGTACATGTTCGTGTGTGTATATATATATATATATATATATATATATATATATATATATATATACATACATACATGTGTGTGTATATCTAAACCAGTGTTCCTGAAACATTTTTTTTTTTTTTTTTACTTGTAGAATAACTAAAATTCTGGGGCGTACTCTCAATTTTAATAAGAGAAAATTAGTCATGAAATTTGAAAATATAAAAGAGAGAGAGAGAGAGAAAGAAAGAAAAGAAGAGAAGTCAATAATGACTGATTTGAATTCATTGAGGAAAGCATTATCCACTCCTCAAAGATTAAGGAATTTAGCATCCAGTTTAAAATATCAAATAACAAAGATGGAAGCCATATGCTTGATGTCTCTAGCTTTTTGAAAATAATTTTTTTTTTTTAAATATAAAAATAATTCATAAATTACTCTTCTGGATTTGGGGCACAGAGTGGCTACCAGGCTCACTGGTCGAGAAAAATGGATCTAAACTGTCAGCTGTATACAACCACTTTCTCAGATCAATGATTAAAAACAGCTTCGAACAAATAAATTCTTTGAACCTCATGAATTGGTGCCACACAATCACAAACAAAGAACTGTGCCAAAATAAAGAAACCAGAGTGATAATAGCTACTGGACTACTGGGCTATTTTCTGAATATTGTTTTTTTTTTTTTGAGCTTAAGAGAGATTGGTCTCAATTCTCTGTAAATTGTGTTAAGCGTTGCATGTGATCTCCAGCTGATGTCTTGGAATTTTCTAAGATTTGTATATGTTACATTCAGTTGTCTTTCAAGATGAACAGATGATGTTCTATGGCATCCTTCTGGAAATTTCTCCTTATGAAAATTGACTTTCCCCAGACACCATACCTTGGGTTGGACATTGGGGATCTGGAGACAGCATCACAGGACTGAAGTGTGGAAAGGGATTGTCCGGACAGCCATAGAGAGGTCAAAGGATAATGATTTTCTGAAAAATTGTTTTAAAAAGATTTTATAAACTTCAATGAAAAGAAACACTGGCTACTTAGTCAATGAATGCAAAATGTTTCTTTAAAAAGGTTGATTAATATGTTTTTAATACTTAACACTTTTTGGGCTATTTAAAACCCAAACATACTTTTTGGATTGTAAGATTAATTCTTTTTATTTTTGAGTCAATATTGCATCAACAATTTTTTTTGAGAATGATAATGATTTTTCAGGATAAAAGTTTTACTATTTACCCTATAGCTGGGTATTGGAGATTGATTCACACCGTTTTCAAGGATATTTGCATGTAAGTTTTTGCAACAAACCCAACTGGAATTTGAACTTAGCTCTCCAATTTCTCATTCCAAGGTGCTAGCCATTAAACCAACTTCACATCCTCTTCATAAGGAAACACTTATTACTATATCCGGTTCAGACTTCTTCCTGGTCTTTCAAACAGTAGAGGTTTATCCCTTGTTTCCTGTTTAGGATTTGCTCTATTAATATATCCCTGTGATATTGATTTACCTGATCTTGTAGATAAACTAAACAAAGTCAAACAGACAATAGAATTTATATATGAAATGGAAAAAAAATCAATACTTTTCCTTTCCTAAATATCATGCTAGACCGTGTTAACAGTAGCTTAAAACAGTGTCCACCAAAAATCAACTAACAAAAATGATTTCATAAATTTCTATTCCCATTGTAACAAAGTAAAATCTGGAATAATCATCGGATTGTACTTAAGAGTGCTCAGAATTTCAGTCCCCAATATTTATATGAAGAGGAGAAATACATTGAAAATAGTTTTAATCTCCAATACTCTATTTCCTATTCAATGAGAAACAAAAGCTTCATAAAAAATTCCAAAATAGAAAAGTGGCCCTTCCAGGCAAACCTAAAAAAATATATATTATTCTATCCACCAACTCTATCACAATTACAATTGAAAAGAATTTATCTAAACTCAAAATAAAATTTGTCACAACTACATTTAAAATAATAAAAGATTTAATACAAAACAAAATAAGCTAAAACTTGAAGGGGGAATTTACTCTATTACTTCTAATAATTGCCACAAAGAATACATTGGAGAAACTTCAAGAAATTTAAATAAAAGATTATATAAGCACAAAAGGGATATTTTACAAAATAAGTACATTAGTTGCTCACTATAATGAGACTGACCACAATTTTGATATTAAAAAATGCTACTCTGATTAAAAAGTAAGCAATTCACCAGGACAAAAATGTCTAGAAAGCACTTTAATCATTAGATCATCCACATCTGTCGAGGTATTGCTCAAAATAGGGGATCAGTGTATATATATATATATATATATATTGATTGTAATGTAGAACTTATTCCCCACTTTATATCCAAATAATTTGATTATCAAATTCTGATTAGGCATGAATCCACCTTTTCTCCCCCTCACCTAGCTATAGATTAATTAATAAGACTTGTATCAGTAAACAATTATATCAAAAAAAAAAAAAATATTTTCTTGTTTTAAATAATCTGTAAAATGGCTGAAAAACTAAAAAAAAAAAAAAAAAAATATATATATAATAATAATAATAATAATAAATAAATAAATAATAATAATAATAATAATAATAATATAAGAAGAAGAATAAGAAGAATGTAATACAAAAGTACATTGTATAACACCATTGTCTCCCGAGACAGAGGCATGCCAGAGTTTTACATATCTGGGCAGAAGTCATGGAGATCTTGGATTAGGCACAGAATCCTCATTCTGAATGTTGGCAAAGTCCAACGGAAAGGATAAAAAAAAAAAAAAAAAAATATAGGGTTTGTTGCCAGTGCAGCTGCATTCCTAAAATGCAACATCTGCTCAATACAGCAGATGAGTAAAAACTTTCCAGCCAAGTTCTAACATAAAAAGTCAGTACTGAAAAGTTCTCAGCCTGACCAACTTCCAAAAATCTGATCAAATAACCTCATAAATTCTTTTTTTTGGAAG